ACTTCCCACTTGGAGAACTTACTACACGGTATACGGGATGGAGACAGTGAGCGAAACAAGAAGAGGTCCTCGGACTGACGTGGGGGTCCTGGAATACGCCCACGCGTCTGTGGACCACTGAGTTTCCACGGTGCCAAGAGAATGTAATGGAGGAAGAATGGCCGGTCCCAGAGGCCATCGCCGCAGGACTCTGTCTGTAGTAAAGTCCAGAGCCCGGAGTGCTGAGCGCTGGGTGAGCTGAGGCGGAGAACTGGAGCTCAGCAGGAGGCGCTGAGAACGTCCTGCCCTGGCCTGGGTGGGGGGTGCAGACCTGCGAATGTGGCAGTTGACAGAGGGGACTCACAACAAGGTCCCCTTCAGGCTTTGAACACGGCCCTGGCTGCTCTGCCACTGAGACTCATTTCTAGACTGGACGGGTTTCTTCTCCTCCTCTCTCCCTGCTCCTCCCTGGTCTCAGGGGAAACAGGACACCTTTCTTCCCCGTCCAGGCAGGGCATCTGTCCTGAGTACACGGCCACCATAGGAACGAGTCATCCAGAGAGCTCAGAAATGACTGTCCCCCAGATTAGCAAGAGAGTCACCACTCCAACAGAGAACCTCTTCCACAGCCCCTGTCCTGCTGATGGGCAGAACCACAGCCTCTGGGACAGGAGTCCCCTGTGTTCCTCCTCTGCTAGCAAAGCAATAAACCTTTTCCTTTCTCTATAAAAACAACCAAACAAAAACAACACCGTTGCCTCGTATACACTAAATGAGTGAATCGTACAATGTATGAATTAAAACTCGATAAACCTGTTAAGTTTTTAAATAAAAAACTAAAAACTAACCCAAGAAACATAACAGGGTACAGCAAACTAAATTATGATCATTAAAATGGCAAAAGGGGACATTTAAATAGGATTAAAGTATACAACCTAAGAAAAGAGAGAAATGAGCCATATTAAGATTGACTAAGTACAATAAAGTAAATAGAAAGGCTTAAAAGAGCTTCAAGATAAAAACAAAAACTGGATTTAAAAGAACGAGAAAAACAAAAATGGCAGATCAGAAAAGGATTGTCAGTTGAAAAACCTGGAGAATCAGTGGTGGAGTAAAAGCTCACGGCAGTTATAAATAAGCAATAAAAAATCATCGAGGTTTCTCTAAGTTAACTGTGACAAGCAGAAGACGCTCCTGAAAAGATGACGAGTATTGTCATTAGTCATCAAGATAAAGAAGCAAGAATATTTTAATGTGGCAAAAACTTATTAAGATCAAGAAAATTTCTGCCCTTGAACTTCCAGGGGGCGAGGGCAGCTCTCCTGGGGGCCAGGGCACCTGGGGGCCGCCTTCATCTTCAGCCATCCTGCCCACAGGGGACCCGGACCTCCCTTGGCCAGGAAGCGAGGGCTGGGAATGCATTCCAGGGAGCCAGACCAGGGGCCCTTTCTAGGGTGTGGCCAGCTGATTGCCTGGGGCCCAAGGGACCTGGAGGGTCTGCTTCCTGAGCTGTGCATGGGAGGTCCCTAGGGTGACCAGCCTGTTGACAGAGGCAAGCAACAAGGGGCCAGGGACTTGACTTCGGTGACATCACCTTTTTGGCCCCAGGATCAAGTGGTCACAGAGTTAGTGCTACACAGTTTACACATGGCCCTTCGCATCTGTGGGTCACCACCTCAGCCTGAGCACCGGAGGGAGGGGGGTGACACTTGCAGGGGGTGTTTAATGACGACTGAAACTAGACCAAGAACATCCACAGGACTTCCTTGACCTCCGAGAGCCCGCGTGTCGTGCCGTGCTCTGGCTTCCTGTGTCCTCAGAAAGGAAACCCCTCTGCCCTTAGGAGCAGGAAGTGGGCAGTGACACCCCATGGTGAGCCCACCTGCTGGTCACTCCCGAGTGGGCAGGTGGGGAAATCCAGATGACATGCCGAGGGGGACTTGTTTCACTCTGGTCTGACCACCCCATGCTGTCATTTTGCTACCAAGAAAATGGCACAAATCCCTTCCTGAGGTCGCAGAGTCGGGTCAGTGCTCGGGCAGGAACTGGACCCAGAAGGTGACTTTTGAGGCTGCACAGCACTCAGTCCCCTCTGGTGCCTCCCCCAGAGACTCAGCCCCCTCCTGCTTCCTGCTTCTGCTCCTCTGCCCTCTGCAGCGGGTCGTCCCTTAACTGATCCTGTTCTTCTGCCTGCGGTGCTTGTCCTCCTCTGCTGGGCAGACCATCTGTACTATCCCCCAGTGCCACTGCTGTCCCCGGCTGGTGCCACCCTGCTGTTCCTCATGTCCACGTCTGTGTGCTCGAAGCAGAGCAGGAGGGCAGGGTGGCCTGGCCGTGCAGCCAGGGTTGCTTCAGGCTCTCGCTTGGCCCTGGCCACCAGCTTGGCCCCCTCCAGGCCCAGGGATAACACCTCCCCAGGTGGGGCCAGGGGCTTCCCAGGTGCCAGGCCAGTGCCCTCCCCGCCCTGCCGGCCTCTCCTGGGAAGCCCCGTGCGGTGCAGGGAGCCTGTCCCCTCTGTTTCTGTCCCCACCAGGTCGGTGCAGAGCAAATGTTTGTGGAAGCCAGTTGAATCAAAGTCCCCAGGCTGCCTTGACATTTTCAGTCCCAGTGACTGGGTATGACAATTGATCCTCAACGCTGTTTTCCCAGGTTGTGGCAATGATAACAGTGGTGACATTGGCAGTAATGGGGTCCACTGAGCGCTGCTCCTTTGCCATACTGTGTCTTAAGCACTCTGAAGGAGATGCCACCTGTGTCCCCTGTCAGCTGAGGAGACTGACATGCAGAGAGGACACGTCCCTTAGGCAAGGAGGTGCAGCTGGCAGCCGCAGGTTCCCAGCAGATACCCGAGTCCGCTGCCCGTGGTCCTGGCTGCCCTGGGTCTGGGCTCCAGGTCTTAGGTCCCCGCGGTCCCTCCAGGTGGCTTCCTTGAAGGTTCCCCAGACTGAGTGACACTGTCTGTGCCCTGTGGTCTGTCTCCACGCAGAGGTGGGTGGGGTGGGGTGAGGTGGCACCTGGATTTATGTGACACTTGCTGGCAGCTCCCAGCAGCCCTCTGCCTGTCTCGGACCCTCGGGTTGACAGCGCCATTTTGCCAGGTGCCAGATGAGGGTTCTCGCTGAGAACGTGGGAAACGCAGGCTCCCGTGTCCGTTTCACGTCTACGCTGCATTTTTTTCCACTAAATTGTGCTTCCTGATAGGGACGTGAAAGTCTAGCCTCACCAGGTGGGGGGTCCATTAGGTCATGTGATCCGCTGAGCCTCAGTTTCCTTTCTTAAAGCCAGTGACTTGCAGGGCACCAGGCGAGGAGCAGGAGGAGAAAGAGCTCCTGAGACCACCTGTTGGCCCTCTCCTCGGCTCCTCGAACGGCCGTGTTCAGCCCTGGGTCTGCAGCGCTGGAGAGCCCCGGGATTCCTTTGTGCTGACCTGCTGACCGCGGTGCACTGTACCTTTAAAAGGTTCCTCAGACACTGGTCACCTGGCCCTTTGTTCCTGGGAGCAAGCCCTGCCAGGTCCAGTGGTTGCCACCACCAGCCCCCAGTGCCCCCGGGCGGGTTGCTGGTCTGGAGAGGCAGCTCAGGTGGCGGGACAGGCAGCCGCTCTGGGCGCCTGTGCTCACTCGCGCTCCCTGGGGCCCTCTTAGCTTTTGGCTTTAGCCAACTAATGTTCTGGAACATGCTCCCAGAAATGGCAGGTAGCAGCTGAAGGATCCAGTAATAAAGCTGAGGGGTTTTGTCTTGAGTTTTGTTTCGGGGGCTGGGGCTGGAGCCCGGGGCCACACCCAGGCTGGGCAGGCGCTCACCCGAGCTGCATCCTAGTCCCCAGAATTGCAGTTCCAAGGCCGGCCCAGCTCCAGAGCTGTGAGAGGTGTGGTGTGAAGGGCGTGCAGCAGAGTCCCGGGTCCCCTGGAATCAGGAAGGCAGGCCCGTCCCTCCCTTGCCTGCCCCGTTTCCTCCATTGACCCTCAGCCCCCGGAGGCCACGTGCCGCGTCTAGCCCCGGTCACAGGCAAGGCGGTCAGGCTGGGCAAGGCCTGTGGCCTGCAGCCTCAGCCCATGGGCGGGCTCACCCGCTGGGGAGCAGGAGAGTCTAGGTGCTGACCCCTGGGCCCGCTGCCTAGGACACGAGGGTCTCCAAAGCCGTGATGTGCTTGACATGGTTCGGGGAAAGGGGCTGGTGTGTTGACAAAGTGCAGGGACGTTTGGGTAGATGAACTGGGACTGCCTTGTCATACATACAAAGAAAGTGTGGCTGGGACATAAAGAAACTGGCTGTGCTCTGGGGGACAAGCAGGGCGACCTGCCCCACGGCCCCAGACCTGCCCAGCAGCCATCCAGCTGAGCTGCTCTGGCCCTTTGGAGAGCATCGCGGCTCACAGGGTGTGGCGGAGCAGGTAGCCACAGCACCTCTGCTGCGTCTCGGGCCCTGTCAGCCCTGTGGCTGCTGACCCCACCCAATCACCCTACGTGATTGCAGGGCAAGGAGTGACCGCGGCTCACAGCCTCCCAGCATCCTCTGCCTCGCTGCCCAGCCTCACTGCCCAGGCTGCAGGCTGTGCTCAGAACCCGAGCAGGTTCCCGTGACCGAGGCCAGCGCTGGGGCGTATCTTACCATAAGAGACCAGGAGCCTTGACCCCGCTGGAGTCTGCGGTGCCTCCCTCTGTGCTGCTGCCACCCCCCTCCCCCCGTGGCTTTCCTCTTATCACCAGGTCCCCTTCGCAGGCCTCCTCACGTGGGCCCCGTGCTGGGTGCCAGGGAGTCAAGGCTCAAGGGCAGGCACAGGTCCCCAGCCTGAAGCCACCGCCCAGCAGGAGAGGCTGCCGTGTCCCAGGACAGCAGGCACTGCACTGTCCTTCCCTGGGCATCTCTGATTACATTAAGGAACAAGTGGAGGCAGTTTTCAGGCCTCGTGCCCCGACGTGCGGTTGTCAGCTGATGGGGTGACCGCCTGTCTGCAGGGGGAGTCGGGACCCCTCAGGTCCTGTCCCCTCACCGCTGCAAACCTGTGCTCCTGTTCCCAGGGACCAACGTCATGGTTCGGTGCCTTAAACTGCTGAAGGAATTTAAGCGGAAGGTTGAAGATGACCATGATGACGATGACGACGAGGAGGCCATCTCCAAGGGGCTGCCCCCAGTGGACATCGTGTACGAGCGGGACATGCTCACGCAGACCTACGAGCTCAGTGAGTCCCCTTGGCGCCCGCTCCGACGCCGCTCTGGAGCCCTTGAGTGGAGGCCGTAGCCGGAGGCTGTGGTGCCTGGAAGCTCCGCGGGTCCCTTGGGTCAGAGTGGAGTTCAGAGCCTTGGTGCCACATTGCTGTGCAGTGTTAGTCTCGTCCCCTCATCTGTAAAGCGGGTGGCTTGGGGTTCCTAGCTAGGCAGGACCAGGCCACATGTCAGGACAGAGACAGACGGAATTGGTTAGAGGTCGGCCTGTGTGATGACAGAGGCTGGGAAGGCCTGCCCCAGCTGAGAAGCTGCAGCCTCTGGTACAAGCCAGTGGCCCAGAGGCCAGAGACCCCGGAGCTCTGACGCTCCAGAGCAGAAGGGCATCCAGCTTAGAAGAGGGAGCGGGTGAATTCACCTCTCCTCCCCCTTCTCATGCTCCCTGGGCCCCCGCTGATTTGTTGGTGCCTGCGCACACTAGGGCAGGTCTTCCCCAAGCAGCCGATCCCCTCACAGACCCATCTCCTCCAGAAATGGCCTGTAGACACTTCCAGAAATCATCCTTTGCCTGGCATCTCTGCATCCAGCCAGGTCGGTGTCTAAAACTGACCTGCACACGGGGTAGCACCTGCGCCACCACGTCATGAGGACTGAAGTGTCTAGAGCAGGGTCTGCTACGTAGAAAGCAGTAAAAAAAAAAAAAAAATTGCTGTTTATCTTAGTCCGTTTTCTGGTCCTACAGCAAAGCACCCAAGACTGGATGATTTATAAAGAAAAGGTTTGATTCTGCCTTAGACTTACGGAGGCCAGGAAGTTCAGACAGGGTCCTGGCATGGCTCAGTTTCTGGCTGTGGCCACTCCATGCCTGGACAGAAAGCTAGAGGGACGCAGATTTGTGGGGAAGAGATAGACACGGCGTGGCCTTGCTGCTAGGCCACCTGCTCTCGTGGTGACTGATCAGTGGAAACACACTGCATTCGGCCATCCACAAGGGCCCTGCCCCCCCCCCGTCACCTCCCCCTGGTCCCCGCTCCCCACACTGCCGCAGGGAGGGTTCCGGCTCCGCAGAGATGGAGGTGGGGGAGATGAACGAACCCACAGCATGGCACCCGTGGCCCTATGTCCTGGCCTGCCGTCACCACTGGCTGGGAGTCCTAATGATAAAGGGTCAAAAACTTTCCCATTCCTCACCTTTCCTCTGGGCCCCAGAGTCTGTGTAGGACATCAGGGACCCAGTGCCACTAGGGGCAGAGGACGCAGGGCCCGGGCTCAGCCACGGATTAGAAGCCACACAGCACATCGCTGGCCTCCTTGGGGGACGGCCAGGCAGTTGGCAGGATGAGTTCCTCAGAACCCATTTGGGGACAGTGTCCCTTAGCTCTTCGTTTCCAGTTGTAGCCTGTTGCTGATGGGAAGTGTCCCGGCTTCCTGGGCCAGCTGGCTCCCTCTTATTCCTGTCCACGCCGTGGGGCAGGGCCTCCCCGCCCTGACTGGCTTCCTGGCGGGAAATGAAGAGGAGGGGGTTCCCAGTAGTCAGGAGCTTGGCCGCCAAGTCTGCCCACCTCCGCTGCCCGCTGGCCTCCTTCCTGGGGTCCTCAGCCTCAGATTAGAAGAGGGAGTGTAGGAGGGCGTCGCGGGAAGATGAGATAACATACCCGGGAGCCACGTTGGCGGCAGGACGAGAGTTGAGGACCTACATCGCGCGGAGCTGTGCGTGGTCAGCAGCCAGTCCTTCCCCAGGCACCAGGCAGTCATCTCCTCCCGTGGTCCACGCTGAAGGCTGCTGCAGAACAGTGTGGCTGTCGGTGTCCCAGGAAAGAAACCTGGGAAATGCACGTTAAAAAAGTTCTCAGTTAAAAATTTTTGCTTTTGCAAAGCCTTCATCAGTGCATTATGGTCACATGTGGTGGTGGGGTTCATTTTGATGTGATCGTACGTGAATGTGACAGTTTGCTCAGGAGGGTCGGTCTCCTTCCGGTGAAAAAGTCCATGTGAAAGGGCTGGTTTCCTGCTGCTGAGTGAAATGGCCTCCTGGCCCAGGTATATGAGCCCCGGTGGCCGTACACGTGGGTGCTGGCGTGGTGGAGCCGCTAGAGCTGTCTTATTCTCAGGTGTTGGTGGGGCCGGGGGGAGCAGGAGAGGAGGGCCCTCCTACCCTCTCCGTTGGCTTTGCTGCTCCGCCGCCCCTGCGCCTGGGAGGGGGGTGACTTGGCCCAGCTGCCCGGGCGGCTGGGGCTCACGCTGCTGTTCCTCACAGTTGAGCGCAGAGGCACCAAAGGCATTTCCCAGGCCGAGATCCGAGTGGCCATGAACGTGGGAAAGCTGGAAGCCAGGATGCTCTGCCGCCTGCTCCAGAGGTTCAAGGTCGTCAAGGTAACACGTCCGGCTGGGCCCATCGCACCTCGCGAAGCCACATGTCAGGGGAGCAGATGACCTGCCATCTGTGCCTAGGAGCAAAGGCTCCCTGGGGCCCCCGTCACTGCTGCGGCCTTGTCCCCACTTGTCAGACCTGGAGCAGTTGTCAGCTTTGGGAAGTCACAAGGCAGGGCACCTACGCCTGGAGCTGGCTCCCGGGTGGGGACGGGCAGCTGGGCCGTGAGTGTCCGTCCACCTGCCCCCTCCGTGTTTACGTGACAGGAGGGCATCGGGCAAGCTAACTGCATGTCCCCTTCTGTGATCCAGTCCTGCCCTCCCAGCCTGGTGCCCCTGTCAGTCAGCTCTCTGTCACTGTGTGGGATGTGACTCAAGAAAGGTCGCCCTGGCTCGGGGTTCTGCAGTGTCCAGTCGCTGGCTCTGCGCAGCACATGGTTGCGGGGACACGTGGTGAAGCGACTGCTCCATCATGAGCCAGAAGGACAGAGAAGATGACTGGGGTCCCAGAACCCTTTGGGAGCACGGTGACCTAAGGGCCTCCCACTAGGTCCCACCTCCTAGAAGCTCTGTTACCCTCAGTAGTGCCACCCTGGGTACTGAAACTTTCCCACGTCACCCTCTTCGTGCCCACATTTTGGACACTTTGCCTGAAGGCAGGATTCTGGGTGAGCTCATGATGGCAGAGCACTTGGTGCCCCCCACCCCGTGCCGTGTGCACTGACGCCACTCCTTACCCCATGGAGCCCCGCCCCCTGTTCCAAAAGATAAAGTGAGCACAGATCAGTGATGACCAGGCCACCAGTCCTGTGCTGTGGCTGAGTGGGGCAGGAGCCCTGCAGGCCTGGACGCTCTAGTGCCCGGCAGCCACTGAATTCTGTGTGACAAACACTCCCTGCCTGCTGACTATTATTTTGTGAGCCAGGCCTGTGCCCAGCCCAGAGGCTATTGGGAAGGTCACATTAGGACCCCGCGCCCCAGGAGCTCGCAGTCTCAGTGCACACGGGGGCAGGATTGCATCCAGAGCCGTCTCCAGCGGCTCATGGAAGCAAGGGCCAGGAGACAGGGCAGGAAGGGGCCCTAGGCCACGAGACAGGAGAGCGCTGGGGACAGCAAGACCAGGCCACCAGCCTGTGGTGAGTGCAGCAGGCTCTTTTCAGCAGGATAAACACACTCCTGTCCCCTGTAGGGATTCATGGAAGACGAGGGCCGGCAGCGGACGACCAAGTACATCTCGTGCGTGTTTGCGGAGGAGAGCGACCTGAGCCGGCAGTATGCCCGGGAGAAGGCCCGCAGCGAGCTGCTGACCACCGTGAGCCTGGCCTCGGTGCCCGAGGAGACACTCCTGCCCGAGGGCGAGGACGCCTTCCTCTCCGAGTCGGACAGCGAGGAGGAGAGCAGCCGCAGCAGCAAGCGCAGGGGCAGGGCCTCCCAGGGCCACCTGAGGTCCTCTGTGGACCTGGGACCAGGCACCCAGCCTCATCACTCCACGCCAACCAAAGGTAGGTGGCTGGCACGGGTGGGGGCGTGTGGGGCCGAGCGCCTGGGCCTGCGGGCAGCTGCAGGGGTTCAGCTCAGTGGGCACCTCAGGGCCCCTCGTGCTGCCCTGAGTCGGGGCGCACAGGGGTCACTCGCATCTCCTGGGAGGCTTGGCGAGGACAGTCGTGTGGTCTGTCCCCCGCCTGCTTGCACAGCAGTGTCCTTGGCAAATGTTTTGTTAGGTTTTTTATTAAAGGAATAGAATTCCAGAAGGTTCCTCTGTTCCCTTCCCTCGACTCTGTCCGAAGCTCCCTGGGCTTTGGTTCAGCAGAGATGACAGTTGAGAAGCGCCCTGGAGGTGGGGCTGATGGCGGGTTTGCACGTCTAACATCTGGCCTTGTGAGAGGGACACTGGCTGCCCGCGGGTCCTCGCCTGTCTTTGAAGTGACAGTCAGCAGGGGTGGCTTGTTGGCTCCTGTGGCTGCCAAGCACAGAAGCCCTTGTCCCTTCCCTCTTGATGGTTCCCCTCCTGCCCTCGTCACAGGTGGGTGGAAAGTCCTAAACCTACACCCGTTGAAGAAGCAGCCGTCTTCCTCCGCAGGAGCTGCCGAGGACAGGGCCTGCAGGGGCCCCGCGGGCAGGGACAGCCTGCTGGACTCCAGCAGCAACTCAGACCTCAACGTGTCCTTCGGCTCCCACTGCGTGGAGAGCAACAGCGGCGACATCGCCGTGATCGAGGAGGTCCGGCTGGACAACCCCAAGGTCAGTGTTGGCCAGGGGAGGGCATCGTCTCCGAGGGAGCCGGCCGCTGGGCCAGCCTGCTCCTGTCTGGGCCTGAAACTCAAGGACAGCAGCCGAGCCAGGGGCAGGGCCAAGGCCAGGCACCGAGGGCCAGCTCTGTGCTCACGGGAGCCACGTCCTTCTTCCCACGCTCCTTCACGTGCCCTACCCTGCACACAAGTCACCTGCACCTGATGTCCCCAGGTTCCCTCTCCATCAGCTTGTTCTTTTCACTCGAGTTTATTTTGCAGGGAATTCTGTGTTGCCAGTTTAGATGGCTGTGAGCTGGTGTTGCCCCAGAGGGCGTTGGCCAAAGAGACATTTTGATTGTCACCACTTAGGGAGGGGACTCTCCCAGCAGTGCGGTGGCCAGGCCAGGGTACTGGTTATGGCTGTTGTTGATTGGACAGGTCCTGGCATGTTGCCCAGTGGGCCTCGAACCAGGCTCGAGTGGTCCTCCTGCCTTGGCCTCCAGGCAGCCCTGCCCGCATGCAGGGTCAGGGCTAGGGCACCCTGCGCCTGGCTACGACTGCATGTTTTCTTCCTTTCTTTTTGTGGCTCTGGATGTCCGGCCCGGGGCCTGGTTTGTGCGGCCAGTGCTCCAGCGCTGCGCCCCACCCTGCCGGTCAGCAGCGCCTCGTCCAGCACAGACTCGGCCACGGTCGAGGAGCCTGCTGCAGGTGCCAGGCCAGGAGCACTCGCCGTGAGGGAAGAGTCACCCTCATACAGATCAGAAAGCGTGTCCGGCATCCTGTCTACACGCTGCGTGCTCCAAGGCATCAGAGGCACAGTGGGGCAGGCCAGTGCTTTGTCATCCGTGTGAGGACAGGGGTTAGAAGGTGACGGGCACAGGATGCCGTCTCATCACGTGATTCCAAAGGTGCCTCCAATTCTGCCAGGCCTTTGGAAGCAGAGCAGACGAGGCCCCCTGGGGGTGGGTGGGTGGCTTCCTGCTGCTACTGGTTTGGGGTCACGCCCTGCAAGGTAAATCCCAGCTCTTGGGCTGCGGGGGACGCGGGGCCCCTACGGGTTGGTGGCTGCCCCTGAATCAAGTGAGGACCAAGTGGGGACCGTACTCACCCTGCCCTGCTGCTCCTCTGTGCTCTGCTCCTGTCCCTGTGGTGGACATATGGGGCATGGTGGGGGTGCTCACAGACCCACTGAGCCCTTCCTCCCTGCTAGGTGTCCAGGCTCCCTGTCCATCGCTACTGGCCTTGTCACCAGCTGAGGAAGCTGGGCCTGCCAGCTCTGTCCCCAGCGGGGCTTCCACTGTGTCCCCTGCCCTCCTCTCCCCGCCCCTTGCCATGGGTCTGTGTGGCCCCAGCACGCGCTGCCTACAGCCTGGGGCTCCGTGGTCTCTGCCCACTCGGCTCCTCTCGGGTGGAAAGTCACTCCTGAATGACGGTGGCACTGCCTCCCCCTTTTGGGTCTTTCTGGGGATAGTGGTGTCCTCTGCTCCTTGGTGGCTCTTGGCAGGGTGTGTCTCCGCTCCCCAGCAGCCGTGGCCAGCCGCCTGCAGAGTGCTCGCTCTGACCCTTGGGTGCCCTCTTGGGCCCAGCAGCCCATCCCCCTGGTGGAAGTGCCCACGTGGGCCGAGTGCACCTCGCGGCCGTGCCGGAGCCGCTACCCCAGCCAGGAGTGAGGAGCCGGCCAGCAAGCCGTGCCCAGCTGCCATGTCCGCCACACAGTGACTTGTGCCCAGTGACCCACGGGGCGTGTGCTGGGTTTAGGGTCCACCCAGGGCTCGCTTCTGAGCTTCCCCAAGGTCTGACCCAGGGCACGTGGCGTAGGCTCCCGTTCACCCCAGGGACACCCGGGCTGGGCTCCAGAGCCTGCCACTGCTTCTAGTCCAGTGCTTCCCGAGGGACGCGCAGAGGCCCCGTCCCAACTCCATCTCAGTGGCCCAGACAGTCCTGGGCTCCTCCGCTGTGAGGTGGGTGGCACTGAGAAGGCCGTGGAGCATTTTGAGGACACAAACCCCATGGGCCTCAGTGAGAAGCCGTCCCTTGCCTCCCTGGTGGACAGCCCGCCCCAGGTGGGCCCCAGGGTTGCTGCGGTAACACTGAGTCCTGTTCTGGGGCCAGCAGATCCACCGGGCCCAGGAGCCCCTGCTGGCAGGTGGCTGTGCCACTTCAGAGCCCTGAAGGGACCCACCTCTTGACTTCCCTTCCTGAGGGCTGGGAGGGCGCCACCCCTCGGCAGCGTCCGGCCCTGGCTGAGCCCACCTGTCTCGTCCCCCAGGAGGGCGGCGGTTCCCAGAGGGCCGGCAAGCACGGCACAGGCCAGGACAAGCCGCACAAGACGTACCGGCTCCTGAAGCGCAGGAACCTGATCATAGAGGCCGTCACCAACCTCCGCCTCATCGAGAGCCTGTTCACGTAAGCCCCGGGCACCCGCCCCGGCCGCCGTCGGCCTCTGCTCTCCGCGTCCCTTTGTGGTCGGGAGGGTCCGTGTGCTCCTGTTGTTCTGGAGCTGGGCCTGACGGGGTGGGGGAGTGGGCGTGCTCTGCCCCCCAAGGCCGCTGTGGGCTGGGGGGGACTTGTAAGGAAGAAGAAGCGGCCTCAGCAGCCCCCTCACCAGCGCCTCCTGGGCCAGCAGGCAGCATGAGGCCACTGCCCTCAGTCAAGGACGTGGCTTCTTCATGCTCAGTCCCTGACTGGGGCTGGACTCGGGACAGGGGCCTTCTGCAGATACGGTGTCACCTTGGTCCCCTCTTCTGTGCAGCGAGGGGCTTGGCGAGATGTTCCTAGCGAGCCTTTTAGACCTGGCATTCTGTGACCAGAGATCTAGAGTGTCACTGTGAGACTCAGTGAGACCTAGAGAGCGAGACGTGTCGAGGAGGAATGAGGAGCAGCTCAGGTCTGCGGGAGGTGGTGACGGGAAGGTCCCTTAGCTAGACCATCAGTGAGCCCTTGGACTTGGTGAGGACGATGGCCTCCCGCCCCCGCTCCCCTCCCAGCTGTCCCAGGCCCCGATGCCTTGGGTTGCCAGCAAGGCTTGGCTGGGGGCCCTGCAGGGGGCCGTCTGGCCTGTCCTCACGTGCTGTAGGGAGGGTCTTCAGGGCTCCTGGAGGCCCACCTTCCTGGGGAGGAACCCCGTCACGCCTGGTTTCGCTGGGTGCCGTCGGGTCCTTTGGTGGAGAGTGGCCTGCGTGTTCTGAGGGGCAGCCTGAACTGCTTATTTTGTGACGTCGCAGGATACAGAAGATGATCATGGACCAGGAGAAGCAGGAGGGCGTGGCCACCAAGTGCTGCAAGAAGTCCATCGTGCGCTTGGTGCGGAACCTGTCGGAGGAGGGCCTCCTGAGGCTGTACCGCACCACGGTCATCCAGGACGGCATCAAGAAGAAGGTACCGGCTCCCCAGGCCCGCGCCAGCCCGCTGAGGGCGTCCCCGCCCTCGCCCTCACCCTCGGTGCCTCTCAGTGGTCCCTCTGTTGTGGGTGACTCCGCGTGTCCCAGTGTGCAGCAAGCCCCCGACTTGGGGATCAGGGGTTCCCAACTTTGAAAGACGGATACAGGAAAGAGTGACAGTGTGGTTGATGTGAGAGTGGCGAGTCACCCGGGCAGGAGTCCCCTGCAGCCGGCCTTGGGTAGGGAGGAGAGGGCAGGCAGCGTCAGGAGGAGCTCAGGGACGTTGGAAGGTGGAAGGGCAGGAGGGAGGTGGCGGCCCCGCGAGCGAGCACGCCAGTCTGCAGCCCACTGACCCATCACCTCACTTTGTTGATTTCTGTAAAATGTCAAGTTTGGGGCCGTTCCCATGGCAACGGTCGCTCCAGACTTTGCACATATTCTATGGCATAAATTTTTCAGGGTCAGAGTAATGTGTGGTGGCGCAGCTGGGCACTGGGGGACGGTCACCACTAATTTCTGACCTCCCTTCCACACTGTGGTCCCCTCCTCTGCCTTGAGAAAGCTCTGCCTGGGCCTCTGCTTTCTCGTCAGCCGCCAAGGCCGCTCCTGCTCTCACTGTCCCAGCACAGGGCTGCACCCGGCCCTTTCCATTTTCATTTGGAGACAGGGTCTGGCTGAGTGGCCTAGGCTGCCCTCAACCCTGGGACCCTCCTGCCCCGGCTCCCAGCAGCTGGGGCTGTAGGCGGGAGCCACGGCGCCCGGCTCACGCCATCTTGTTTCTCAAGAAATTTGAAAAAGACAAAGCAGTGCACCGAAGTGACCCAGGAAACAGCGTCTGCCGTTGCCAAAGTCTTTTAAAATAAAATGACGTGTCCCTTTGACCCCTCCCTCCCCGCAGCCTGCACGCTCCTCCTTACGAGGCGGCAGGATGTGCTGAAGTCCCTTCTCTGAAAGACACACGGCCCATCGGCCGCACCTGATGTCCGTTGACCTTCGAGGGCGGATCTTCCAGGTCGCAGCCTCGGGTGACTGAGGGCGCTGGGCGGAGGCCACCCGGCTTTAGTGTCAGCTCTCTCTGGCTGCTCTGTGCTAGGGGCGCAGGTGGGGAGTGGCAGGAAGGCCCAGGGCAGCCGTCAGCACTGGCACGTAACTGGAGATGGCAGCGTGCGGTCGGGGGCCGCGGGGCGCTGCTGCAGCCTGCCCTTCCACTGCGGGGGCCTGCAGCTTGTCAGCACCCCTCTGGTCTGGAGTTCAGGGCTCGGGTTTGGTGGTGGGGGCTCGCGCTGGCCCTCAGGTCCGCTGGGGCCACACTGGCTGGAGTGCCTGCTCCTGCCCAGCCTCTGCTCCTGTGTCCTGTCCCCGCTGTCAGGCCTGGGGGTTCTGGGTGTGGACCTCTGAACTGTGAGTGCTGCGTTTTAAACTTTCCAGCTGTCACCTGGCTGTGTCTCCTTTGAGCCTCACGAACCTACAAAGAGGGGATGGTTCAGAGGAGGGGTGGGGTCTCCACATGAGGAGCAGGGGCACCTGAGCAGAGGTGGCCTGTCAGGCGTTGCTGTCTGCCCTGTCCCACACCTCTCTGAGCCCATTTAGGTGCAGAGCTGCTGGCACCGTTTATTCTGAAAACCCTCCTCATTTAGAGGCCTGGCTCTCGGGTGCTCAGGCACCAGCCTCCTCACCCACGGCTCAGCGGCCACGCTCAGCCTGTTCTGCCCCTCTCCCCTCTGCTGGGCGCTGCAGGGATGGCCCTGCGTCAGGTCCCCTTGTTCACTCCGGCTCTGCTGGAACCCGACCCACCCTCATGGTTGTGCTCGGTTCCTGGGAGAAGGTGAAATGAACGCTGCCTAAATCCTCTGCCAGTTCCTTTAGCCACGCGCCTGGCAGGAGCCCCAGACGGAGGACAGCCGCTGGCTGATCCAGATGGAAGCGCTCAGGATTCACCGGGGGTGTGGGGAGTGTTCCCCCAGGTGCAGCGGGGACCAGTGGGATGTGACGGCCCTGCCAGGGAACTGTGGGTGGTCGGCTGCGCCAGGCATGGCTGCTGGAGGCTTGGACAGCCGTGATGTGATGGCCAGCGGCTCAGCTACACCCTTCCTTCCCTCTCCCGCGTGTTCTGAAATGTCAGGACCTCGGCCCTCCCTGCCCACTGGGACACTGACTCTCTCTGCAGGTGGACCTGGTGGTGCACCCGTCCATGGACCAGAACGACCCCCTCGTGAGGAGTGCCATCGAGCAGGTGCGCTTCCGGATCTCCAACTCCAGCACCGCCAACAGGCAAGTGGCGGGACCCAAAAGAACCTTAAGCAAGGCACCGGGGCCTGTGTGTCCCGCGTGTCCTCAGAAAGCCCTGTAGGTCACCTTGCGTGAAATCAGTGCGCTCATTGGGTCAGGGTGGGGGGTTCACGACCCCAAATCTAAGTGAGGATTGGTTCTTTGCTATTTTAAGAAAAAAATCCCAGTGTTCTGCCTCCAGCGGATCTGCCGGCGAGGGTTCCGAGCCCTCCCTGCCCCAGGCCTCGGTCCCGAACTCAGCCTCATAACTCTGCCCGGAGACTGCCCTTGGCTACCCAGTGGCTGCCCTCGCCTTCTGGGGCTCTAATTTAGTTCGTGGTCCACTTCAGACGGGAGAAAATGTGCAGGAAGAGAAAGTCCTCTGCCAGGCGTAAGCCCGAGGGCTGCAGGCGGGCCGGCTCGCCCAGGGTGCTGGTGGGTGGCCTGCCACGAGGCCAGGGGTGGAAGACTAGTCTCACGGAACTCCCGGCTGCTGGCCACTCTGGAGCCGCCCTCAGGCCTCGTGTATTGGGCTCCTTCCTCAGAAGGCAGCGCAGCCCAGTTGATGGGCAGCCCCTCCCGGCCCCTCCGTGCCCCCAGCCCCCGTGTCCTGTGACGGGCACACTGTTCAGTTGTGTCCTCTGCCTGGCCTCGGCAGACAGCGGGTTGGACCCGCCCCAGCCCGGTGCCTTCGTCTAGGTCACGCAGACTGACACCGAGGCTCCCGGCCAGCTTCTCTAACGAGTTCTTGTCCCTGGTGTTTGGCTGCAGGGTTAGAGTCCCCCAGCCTCCAGCCCCTCCAGAGGAGGCCGAGGAAGAGAGCCCAGGAAAGGAGGGCCCACGCACATCCGGAGAGTCCGACCTGCCCACGGCCGCGAAGCCAGAGAGCACGCGGGTGAAGAAGACCGAGGAGAAGATGGGCATAACCCCGCTTAAAAACTACCACCCCGTCGTAGGTAAAGAGCAGCCCCCAGCCGCCTGCGACCGCATCTCCTGGCCACTTGCGTGATGCTGGCGCACCTGGGGCCCTGCGCTGGGGCTCTGGGCTGCAGGCAGTTGAATGGGGTTGGAATCGCTGGCTGGGCCCTGCTGGGCTGCCACGTGACTTCTCCAGCCTCCTTTTTCCTGTCTGCACGATGGACGTGGTCCGCGCCCAGCACGCCTCCCAGGCCCTGGGCAGACTCCTGGAACCAGGGTAGATCCCCACGCGAGGAGCTGTTCACAGAGATTCCCACCCTCTGCTGGCTGCCCTCTGCGGAACATTCCGTGAGCGCAGGGAGTTCCCCGTCCTGCCCTCACCTGCCCCCAGCTCAGGTGGGCTCCCGGGCTCGGCGCCCCTCAGACACGCACATGGCTCTCAGGGCAGCAGCCTCCCCCGGGCAGTGTGGGACGCCCCTCTGAGGTGCGTGGCCTTCACCCCTGGCCTCCTAGCAGAGAGCAGAGGGCACCGAGGGCAGGAGCCCTGCGCGGCTGAGCAAGGAGTGGGCCAGACTGGGCCCTAGAGTGGACCCTGCTGCTGTGTCCACCTTGTCCCACCCTGTCCTCGTCACCAGGGAAAGTCAGGGAACGGCTTATTTGTATCAACACAGAAATAAGTCACTTTAAAAGAACGGAAATTTCGGGCTGGTGCTGTGTCTCAGTGGAAGAGCATGCGCCCCGCATGTGTGAGCCCCTGGCCTCACCCTCAGCACCACGTGGAAATAAATGAACAAGTGAATTAATAAGCCATAAGGTGTCGTGTCCGTCTACAACCGAAATGTTTAAGGAAAAAAACGAAATTTTGGAATATTTGGCACGTTCCCGTGAAGCCAGAGACCTTGTCCAGTGGCCTTCCGTGGAGGCAGCTGCCACCCATCTGTCCTTGCCCCCTTGCTCCCCACAGCCTGCCCTCTGCTCCCCACCCCCCATCTCGGCCCCTTGAGTCTGTCCTGGACACTCACCCGCTACCGCACTGCCCCGCGGCCCCCGCCCATCCCTCCCCCTGCACATCTGCGCGTCTGATGAACTACTGCAAGTGTCATCTTGAGTCACATTCCCCCAGGAGGTGGACACCAAGGGCGGGCAGGCACTGGCCGTCTCCCTGGGCCCAGGCACGGCGCCCTGGGGGGGTCTGGGGGCTGAGCCGAGCTGGGGGGTTTCCTGAGCGCTCTGCCCCCTTTCTTGCTTCAGTTCCGGGCCTTGGGCGTTCCCTGGGGTTCCTGCCCAAAATGCCCCGCCTGCGGATGGTCCACATGTTCCTGTGGTACCTGATCTACGGCCACCCTGCCAGCCAAGCGGCCGAGCAGCCCGGCGTCGGCGGTGAGAGGAGAAAGCAGGAGCCAGGCAGGGCAGGCCCGCGGCCCTCCTCTGGAAGCGACCTGGAGGCCTCTGAAGGCCCAGCCAAGGACAGCAACGAGAGCGCCCCCTGGGAGGCCGAAATGGAGCTTCCCACACAGACAGGTGAGGCGCCGGGCCTCCCCTGGACGGGCCTCCTCTGGACAGTCCTCTCCTGGACGGGCCTCCCCTGGACGGGCCTCCTCTGGACAGTCCTCCCCGGGACGGGCCTCCCCTGGATGGGCCTCCTCTGGACGGGCCGGGGCGGCTCCCAGGTCCCAGGCCCACCCCAGCCCAGGCTCCTCCCTCCCTCCTGCCCGTGGGTCCGGGACCTGCCAGGAGGCGCCCAGCCGTCCGGGTGACGCCATCCTCTTCCTAGTGTACGTGGACGAGTGCTCCTGGATGCGCCACATCCCTCCCATCCCAGTCCACAGGGACTTTGGCTTTGGCTGGGCGCTTGTCAGTGACATCCTGCTCTGCCTGCCCCTGTCCATCTTCGTCCAGATCGTGCAAGTCAGCTACAAGGTACTGGGGCTGGCCGTCGCAGGTCCCAGGGCTGGAGGCCACCAGTCACCCCGTCACGGGGAGAGTGCTTGGAGATGCCCCCGGGAGTGGGTGGTGGGGTGACGAGTGGATGGGAGGAAGGACGGTAAAGGGGAGGACCTCGGAGACTCCTCCTGCTGCAGGGAGGGAGACAGATAACTGGTTCAGCAGTGACATAGGTCATAAGGAAAGGGAAAAGAGAAATGACCTTCAGCCTTGTCATCCAGAGAGATAACCACTAGTTTCTGGTAGATTGTCTTTCTCATCCTTGTTATTTTTATTTTTTTATATGGAGACAAGGTCTCACTCTGTTGCTGAGGCTGGCCTCAAACTTGGAATCCTCCTTCCTCAGCCTCCCCAAGTAACTGGGATCACTTGCCCAGCTCCTCATTTGTTTTATTATGGTCGGGAGCGGGTGGTATGTGTTTCAATCAACCTTTAAAAAAAAAAAAAAAACTGAGATTCTGTTTCTTCTTCTATTACCTGTTCTTTCCACTGGACAATTTATTGTATTTTCCACATCATTTTTATTTATTTATTTTTTTGGTGGTGCTGGGGATCGAACCCAGGGCCTTGTGCAGGCAAGGCACGTGCTCGACCAGTTGAGCCACATCCCCAGCCCACATCATTAAGTTTGTTAACTTGATGGATTCATAGTATTTCTCCTTAAGCATGTACTGTGTTGGACCGATATTTTTTATTTAAATGCCATTTATTCTTCTAAATGACATGTTGATGGATATCTTTTAGAGCATAAATACGTGGGCGGCTCCAGATTTTTCCTTTGGGGGTGACAGAGGGGGATGACAGAGGAGGCGGCTGCCTTCCAGGGAGTGATGTCCCCACCACCTCCTGGGAGTCCCCTTGCTCCGCCCACCAGCAGCCCCAGGGCACTTGCTGCCCCCAGGGGAAGGGAGGTGTGAGCCCCCGGCAGAGGCAGGGAGGGGTGGAGTGTAGGTGGGCGTCTCCTCAGCCTTGTGGCCCCTGGTCTGCTGGCCAAGCTGACCCTGCAGATGGCCTCCGCAGGTGGACAACCTTGAGGACTTCCTCAACGACCCTCTGAAGAAGCACACGCTGATCCGCTTCCTCCCCAGGCCCATCCGGCAGCAGCTCCTGTACAAGAGGTGAGGGTCCCGGTGGCCTCGTATCAGGCTCCCAAAGGGCGGGCTCTGAGTGGCCCCCAGGCCCCCTGGATGACAGGCCTCAGTGCGCAGGCGCTGTGCCTTTTCTTACGTGAGCAGGAAGCCGGGCAGCACCCGCTGAGGCTTGCAGCGGGCAGTGTGGATTGGGGTGGTTCTCCTTTTGTTACGTTGACTTTCCAGATCAAACCCGAGTGCAGGGTCCAGCCTCCGTTGCCTGGTGGGGTTTGGGAAGGCTGGGGTGGCCCAGTGCCGGCCAGGCCAGAGGCCGGTCCTCCAGGGGCCCAGGTGGAAGCCAGACCCTGCTGCCCATGGGGAGCGGCTGGGAGCAGGTGCCTGTGTGTGTCCAGGCGCTACATCTTCTCCGTGATCGAGAACCTGCAGCGGCTGTGCTACATGGGGCTGCTGCAGTTCGGTCCCACGGAGAAGTTTCAGGACAAAGACCAGGTAACGTCTCCAAGCCCAAGCGACGGCGGTGCCCCTTGCGGGCTGCCCCAGTGCTGACCCGCAGTGTGCTTCTCCCCACGGGGTCTCCTGCAGGTCTTCGTGTTCCTGAAGAAGAACGCGGTCATCATCGACACCACCATCTGCGACCCCCATTACAACCTGGCCCACAGCACCCGGCCCTTCGAGAGGCGGCTCTACGTCCTGAACTCCATGCAGGACGTGGAGAACTACTGGTTCGACCTGCAGTGCGTCTGCCTCAACACCCCGCTAGGTACACCCGCCTCCCCTGTCCTGCGAGGCTGCGAGCTAGAGGAGGCTGCAGGTTCTCACAGCCTCCAGGTTTCCAGGCTGCTCCCAAGGCAGCAGAGTCCCTGGGGCTCCCTGAGAAAGCAGGATGGGGGGCCTTGGGCCAGGGGCTGCTGGGCCCCACACAGCCGAGCACACACCTGGTCCTCATTCCTGTGCTCCCTGAATAAGTACCTGTGGAGCACCTGCCATGGTCACGTGCTGCTCCTTGCCACACAGTGACGAGAGCACGGCCTGCCCTGCCCTCACCACGCTAGTGACTAGTGAAGGGGAGACACAGTTCACAGAGAGCCCCAAAGTGTGGTGGGTGCCAGCGCATTTTAGTGGGGTGCTTGGGAATAGCCTTCCCAGGTCCACCCGCCATCCCTAGGATTAGGCTGAACCAGCCAGGCCCAGGCCTGGGGAGGTGCCAGGCAGGGAAACAGCCCGTGCGAAGCCCTGAGGTCCATGTTGGATAAAAGAGCAGAGACTGGCATGTTGAGGGGGTCGTGGGTGGCAGCCAGACTAGGGGGACCCTGGGAACCTGGTGAAGAGCAGTGACAGCCACGGGGTGGCTGTGAGCAAGGAGTACCTCATGCTGGCAGCTGTGTGAGATGGACGCAGGGTGGTCCATCAGGGGCTGTGCCTCCTGTCTGTGTGAGGAGGAGGGGACAGCTCTGCAGAGGCTGAGGAGGGGAGCTGGCAGGGGTCCTTCAGTGGGCGGTGCTGGGCTTGGCCCAGGGTCTCCTGGACTGTCCCTTCACTTGTATTGGCCTCACAGCAGCCCCCACTGCTTCTAGACCTTCTCTCTAAGACCCCTGTCTGGCCGCATTCTGCAAATCCCTCAGGCATATCTGCAGGGGTCAACAGGGCCTGTCCACGGTGGGCAGCCACACACGTGTCGAATGCGGGGATCTGTGGAAGGTGCTAGAACCTTCACCCTGTGCTGCCTTCCCTGAGCTGCTCCACCTGCTCTGACCTTTTCTTGCCACGTCCGGTTTGCACCTGGGAGAGGAGTCTCTGCCTCACCCCAGGGCCGAGAGGCCAGCAGCACCCTGGATTTAGGCGAAGCGGGAGCCACAGTTGTTGGCACTCGGAGCCAGCAGAGCAGCCCGTGCGTGTCACCTTGACACTGTCCTGTGCGCTCACAGCAGGGCCTTGACCACCGTGGGCCCCCCTGGGTTTCATCCCTCGATGAAGATTTGTGAGCCACGGGTAACTCACGTCACAGGCTTTCAGGCCTGACACTCAGTGGGTTCGCGTCCCTTTAGTGTCCTTGAGCAGAGCTGCGGGACCTTGCGTGGTCAATGAGGCAGTCGCTGCCCCTTCATTCAGAAGACATTCCCGCAGGTTCTGCCCAGGGACGGGGACATTGGAGACGCCGACAGAGTCACCTTGTAAAGCAGGTGCTGCCCCGAATCACCCTGGGACAGGCCAGTTCCTAAGCCCACCCAGACACTGTCCACCCCACAGTGCTAGAACAGGGTGTCTCGGGGCCAGGTCCAGCTGACAGGTGTGTGGCGTTTCCACTGGCCACGCCAGGAAGCCAGGTTCTCCATGTGGACACCTGCCAGGAGTGTCCTTGACCTTGCTCCTGGGACCAGACCCTCCCTCACCTACTCAAGCCAGCGGTTTCCTCGTGACTTATATTGTCTGCAGGAAACATGGTTTTCTTGATTATGGGATAATGATAACTTGTCGCCTGCCGCAGGGCATCTCTTGAGTGGTTGGAAGGGTCTGCCATCGCGGGCATCTGACCTGTGGCCACGGCAGCTCTGGCCTGCCCCTCTCTGCGTTCCCCCTCCGCCTCTATCCCTCCCTCCTCTCCCCAACCCAGTGCCTCTCCCTCTGCCTTCTGTCTCCCTTTATGTGGCCACTGGAGGCCTGGCCAGGTGGACCCTTCCCCTGGCGGGTCCCACAGGCCGCCAGTCCTTGCCCGCTCACAAGTGTCTACCAGAGCTCGGCCAGGAGCCCTGCTGGGCTGAGCTCGCGTTGGCTTTCAGGTGTGGTGCGCTGCCCGTGCGTCCAAAAGAACAGCCCAGACGCGGGCGGCGACAAGGAGGGCAGCCTACAGAAGGAGCAGGAGAATGCCATCGACAGGCACAACCTGGAGCGCAAGTGCGCCATGCTGGAGTACACCACGTGCGTCCCCCACCCCGCCCCGCTGCCCACCACTGTCCCCACCCCAGGCCACGCAGCCCAGGCCCTCCCTCCCGCTCAGGCCTCAGCAGAAGGCCGTGTCTGCAGAGGCAGGACCTGGGGGCCCGGGCTGCGTCTGACCCTAGCTGTGCTTTGCGTGGTCACCAGCTGTTTTAAGTCCCATCAGTTGTCAACAGTCCGAAATTGGGAATGTCACATAAAATTCTGGGTTTTCAACTTTGGAGAAAAGCAGCCACCTGCCGACTCCGGCCTGTTGGGCTCCTCTGGGATTCGGGTCAGAAGTGAGTCCACACAGGCCGCGGGCTGCTTCCGGTTGCAAGGAGGGCTCTTCCCCTGTCCCTCCCCAGGGGCAGCCGGGAGGTGGTGGACGAGGGCCTGATCCCCGGAGACGGGCTGGGGGCCGCGGGGCTCGACTCCAGCTTCTATGCCCACCTGAAGCGCAACTGGATCTGGACCAGCTACATCATCAACAAGGCCAGAAAGGTGGGCACCAGGAGGAGCCAGGCTGCCCACGCTGCCCCGTCCTGCCGTCTCCCCCTGGGCAAAGCCAGAGTCACCAGGGACACAGCCAGCTGGTCCTGGAGGTCGCGGGGCCCCTGAACACCTGTGGCCTGTGTTCCCAGTGGCCTCTGACTTGCCCTGCTGGACAGCTGCTCCCTTGTAAAGCAGGGGCAGCAGGCTGGGTGCCAGAGCATGTGGGGACCCTGCAGGATGGTGGCTGGAGGCTAGTGCCCAGTCCTCACTCAGCGCCCGCGTCTCTCAGGAGAACATCAACGCAGAGAACGGGCTCACCGTGAGGCTGCAGACCTTCCTGTCCAAGCGCCCGCTGCCCCTCGGTGCCACAGGTGGGTGTGCCCAGAGTCCACCCCAGGAAGGGACGTGGCACCAGGGCCCAGGCGACCGCGGTGCTTCCCGATTGGCCCACTGTGCCTCCGTAGCGCTCACCCTAAGGCTCCTCTCCCCTGACCATCCCTAGGTGGTGGCCGGTTGGCTCTCTGGGGAGAAGCGCGGACAGGCACCGAGCTGTGTGCCGACCGGGAGGAGCAGTTTGAGGTGGACCGTGAGCCCACGCTGGGCAGAAGCCGCAGGGTCAGGGGCGGCCGAAGCCAGAAGCGGAAACGGCTGAAGAAGGAGCCTGGGAAGAGAACCAAGAGGAGGAGGAAAGGTCTGTGCTGCTGGTGGGCGGCTGTCCGAGTCTCAGTCCTGTGCCCCTCAGGCACAGGTGTCCGTGTCCCCGGGCTGCCAGCGCTGACTGCCACAGTCATCCCCAGCCGTGTGGCAGGAAGAGGCCTGCGCTGCTCCCAGGCATCTCCGAAGGCTGTGGGCTCTGTTTCCTGCAGGTCTCTGAGGGACTCCCACAGCTCAGGTTCAGTGTCATTTAAACTGCAAAAGCTTCTCAGCAAGGTCCTCAAACCAGCCAAGGACCGCTCCTCTCTCTGTTTCTTTTGATGTCTGCATTGATGCCCATCAACCAGGGTCAGAGTCAGGCCACGGTCAGAGTCAGGCCACGGTCAGTCGTGACTTTGGACTTGAGGAAGCCAGGAGTCAGGGAGCCTGCGGGGTCTCTCAGGTCTGACCAGCCTGCAGGTGCCCCCTCCCGTCGGCCACGTGGGATCCGTCAGCCCAGCTTAGTGCCGAGGAGGCCAGCCCTTGCTCTTTATGTCACCCACACGGGCCACCTGCCTGCTGTAGCTCCTTCAGTATGTCACCCACACGGGCCACCTGCCTGCCGTAGCTCCTTCAGTATGTCACCCACACGGGCCACCTGCCTGCTGTAGCTCCTTCAGTATGTCACCCACACGGGCCACCTGCCTGCCGTAGCTCCTTCGGGGCAGACAGTGTTGAAACAGGCACCTGCCTTGAGTGGGTCAAGTGTGGGCATCCTGGTGGGGGCACCCTGGCCTATGCCCATGAAGCGTCCCCTCAGTCTCACCTGCGGGAGATCTATGTGAGCTCACAAGGATCGGGGTTCATCACGAGGCACAATATGGGGTGCTGCCCTTGGAATCCAGATTCCTCCCCCAACTTTCCTTCTACCTCTTTTGGCACCGAAGCACAGGTGTAGCAGCGTGTGGTGTCTGCCTGGCCAGGTGCTGCTCGTGGGTCCCCAAGGCCAGGTGCTGCCACGAGACCTTGGAGAGCCCCCGACCAAGGCTGAGATGCAGTCCCCACACCTGCTCCTGATGATGCCATGTCCCTTGGCACATCACAATGGCGGTGATAACTGTGTCCCTCTCCTCGGGTTGCTGTCAACATCCCTCCACAAACCCGCCTGCTTGGCACCCAGTGCATATGCTGGAAGGTGTCGACTGCTCATTTAGTGAGCAGCTACTTCCCACCAGGCTCTGCGCCAGGTGTTCATACTCATCCTCGGCAGCAGCTGAGGGCACCCAGGGCTGCAGTCGCTGTCCTGCTTGTCCAGCAGAGGCACCCTCAGTGCAGCCTGCGAGTGTCCGCATGAGGCACCTCCAAAGAAGTGAGGTCACAGTGGGAGCCACTGGAGAGTGGCCGATGACCAGGTAGAGGCTGCCGTCGGAGAGCTGGGTCTCCGGTCACTTGCTCTCAGGCACAGTGAGCGTCTGGGGACTGCTCCGCGGGCCCTGCCCTGGAGGGACAGCTCTGGAGGTCCTCTCCTCCCCGTTTTTCAGGAGAGGCCCCAGCAGAGAAAAGCAAGCGGCTGCGCTACCACGACGAGGCCGACCAGAGCGCCCTGCGCAGGATGACCCGGCTGCGCGTGTCCTGGTCCATGCAGGAGGACGGGCTGCTCATGCTCTGCCGCATCGCCAGCAACGTGCTCAACGCCAAGGTAGCTGCCGCTGGCCCTGCCTGGTCCTGGCCCCCAGCGCCTGCGCCTCTCCCGGGAGCTCCCAGGACGCGCCCAGCCCAGGACCCTGGTCTCTGGTGCCAGCACACACGGCTCAGCCACGCTGCCTGGAGCTCTGCTTGCTTAGTGACCCCAGACCCTCCCTGGGAAGGTCGTGGCCGTCTCCCTGCCCTGCACCTGCTTCCCACCTGGGCCCTGCTGGGTCGGGTGCCCTTGGTCACCAGAATGGCTGTCCTAAGACGGCACTTCTCACCTGCTTTCCTGGCCACAGCCCAAGCATGGTGCCCCTGCACAATCGTCACAGTTGTGACCAGATTCTCGTGGACTGGGGGCAGTGGCTGTGGCCTGGCCCCCACCCCACAGCCCCCGCTGCTCCTCCCTGCCAGTGGCACTGAGCCTGGCAGGTGGCTGCTCTGTGCCCTGACGCTCCTCAGGCCCACAGCCTGAGCCGGAATCCGTCTCCCGTGTCCCCCAGCACCTGCTGGACCTGCTCTGGGCGTTCGTGCCGCCTGGTGCTGCCCTGCCCGTGTCAGTTGGCAGCAGGGTGTGGACAGGCGTCCGCCAAGCTGCTCGGCAAGAGGCGGCGGGCGAGGGCTCTGTGGAGCCACGGGTGCTGGCTGCTGAGTCGCGGGCTGTGCTGCGCTTCACCCGCTGACTCACGGGGTCCCTTCTCCTGACCTTCGTCCCTCTGTCCCTTCCTACCCATCCCTTCTCCAAGGAGGAGGCTGGGAGACACCTGCCATCCCCATGGTGACTTGCACTGAGGTGTTGTCGGGGGTGGTCCCCACCCCAGCTCCATGAAGCCCAGAGACCCGGGCCTTCCTAGGCCCCCTACTCTGAACGGCCCTCTGCTCTGCCTCTAGAGCTCCCACCGCCCTGGCCCCTGCATGTGGCTTTCTGCAGTGTCCTGAGGGCTGGCAACCGTGCCCCCTCCCGCCCCTCCTCGTCCCCTCTCGCCCCACCTGCTCAGGGCCTGGTGGGAAGTCAGTGCGTGCCCCTGTGTCCACCAGCGCACTGGAAGCCCTCGGCAGGGCACGTGATGCCCTCCCAACCCGCTGGGCATTGACCCTCCAGTCGGTGCCGTCCACTTCTGCACAGGCCCCGCTTCTTGCCCCTGACCCGTCAGGTGGTCTGGGGAAGCTGACCTTCCGTCCTGCCTCTGTGTTTCTGCAGGTGAAGGGCCCGTTTGTCCCCTGGCAGGTCGTGCGGGACATCTTACACTCAACCTTTGAAGAGTCTTTGGACAAGACGTCGCACTCTGTCGGCCGCCGAGCTCGCTACATCGTCAGGAACCCCCAGGCCTACCTCAACTACAAGTACGCCCTGCCCCGCGCTGGGCGTCTGTCCCGTCCCCTCCTCGCCCGCTCCTCGCCCCGCCTGCTCAGGGCCCGGTGGGAGGTCAGGCAGTGCGTGCCACGTGGCCCCGGAGGCCCTCGGTGTTGGAGTCGGTGTTGGCACTGCCCCGTCCCTCACTGTCGGCCGTGTGTGGCTCTGGGGACCAGCACCTGCCGGCTTTATTGGAGCTAGAGCTCCCTTGCGAAGCAGGTGAGGAAAGCAGGCTTCCAGGCCACGGCCCCACAGCAGCCTGGGACCACCTGTGGCAAGACAGAGGGGCCGGGGCACCTCAGCAGCTGCCGCGGGGCCTGATCCTCGAAGGGGACACGGCACAGAGCGGGTGGGAGCTGTCGGGACCACAGTGAAGTCAGAGGCTTGGCTCCCTGACCCCTGACCCTCGGTTGATGCCCTTGTCCTTCCCTGGTGGCAGTGAGGATTTGGGGCGGGGGTTTCAGCACTAGCGGGGCTCTGTGCTTGCTCTCCGTCTCAGGGCCACAGTGCTGGGGACAGGCACTCACTCCTCACTCCCCTGTGAGGTAGGACAGGTACCCAGAACCTGCGCGCCTACCCTGCCCTGGGGTGGGGGCGTCCTTTTCATCACCAAGCCATAAAGTAGAATGACACTCACCTGGGAGCTCGGGGACGTTGCAGGGGAAAGGGCGGCTGGGGGCAGCGTGCTCAGGAGACTGGCTGGAGTAGTGGCCGCCTTTGCTCCTGGCCCAGCCCTGTGGGGACCAGGCGGAGCTCCTGTTCTTGGTCTCCTAGTAGAGGACGGAGCGGTGACCACAGGCTTGAGCCAGGTTTGCTTCGCCCCAGTGACTTGTTTTCCAGAGCCAAGGGCGCCCTGCGGGTACAGGGGCCAGTCATCCTGCCGCTGGCCGGGCGGAGCCGCAGGTGGAGACCGCCTGCTGGTGGGCAGGCGTGGGGGCACCGCCCAGACTCACCTGGCCTTGCCTTCCCGCAGGGTCTGCCTGGCCGAGGTGTACCAGGATAAAGCGCTCGTCGGGGACTTCATGAGTCGGAAATGTGACTATGAGGACCCTAAGGTAGGCCTGTGCAGCAGGGCCCGCCTCCCTGAGGCAGGTGCTGGGTGCTGGCTGCCCCGGGCTGCGGGCCTTCTCGGGGTCAGCTGTGGCGTTCTGCTCCCTTGGGAACCCTCCTGTCCGTCCTTGGGCTTAGGACCTGTTTGATTCGGCTCCGAGCATGGCTTCTGAAGGTGGCTGGAGTCTCCCTGCGCTCTGAGTGCTGCTGTGCCGGGGCCTCTTGTGGGGAGCCTGGGGCGGCTCCTCAGAGGTCCCCCAGCCGGGCTCCCAGAGCCTCCCCGGGAACGTGCCGCCGTGCGGGGCTGCGGCTGTGGCTGGCGAGGGGGAGGTGTCTTCTCACCCGGGCTCAGTCTGCGCCTCTGTCCTTGAGCTAGTCACGGGCTCTGCTGCGGGGCGCCAGGCCTGGTGCCCAGGAGTCTTGGGGAGCCGCAGCCTTCCCCTTCAGGAGCTGCACACAGTGGGACCAGCAGAGAAGCCAGTGGCCGTGACAGTGCAGCAGCCCGCTCCCAAGGGCAACAGGCACTGGGGCGCGAGGCCGAGTGGCTCGGGCATCCTGGTCGATGCTGGCAGCCGGCGTTCTGTCACGCGGACCTGGTCAGGTCCACACGCCAGGGGAAGGTGTGGGCAGAGAGAGGCCACCCGCAGCCTCTGCACTGCAGCTCTTCAAAGGTGCCGAGCTCTGGACTGAGCCTAGGAAGTGGTGGGCCAGGAGGGCGGAGGCCACGAGGGAGGAGCGGCTGTGTCCTTCCTGCCCAGCCCCAGGCCATTAGAATGGCCTGTCTGGGCGGCCTAGGGGTGGGCTGGAGGAGGAGCCGCCTCCCATCAGGCCCAGCAGCCTGGCTCCCCCACCTCCAGCCCAGAGGGGCCGTGTGGCAGGAGCCCAGGGGCTGGTGTGGGAGGAGGAGCAGGGGCAGCACCAGGGCCTTGGCTTCCTAGTGCAAAGAGAGGCGTGTCCGCTGCTCACCTGCCCTGGCCTCCTCAGGTGACGGGTGACCGTGGACTTGGGGACGTGGAAAGTCGGGGCAGGCTGCAGGCTCCGTGTTTCCTGGGCATAGTGGCAGGAGTTGTCAGCAGATGTCCTTTCACCGACGGGGGTTGGCATGTCCTCTCCACCTCACAGGTTTGTGCCAAGGAGTTCAGGGAGTTTGTGGAGAAGCTCCAGGAGAAGTTCAGCTCGGCCCTCAGGAACCCCGGCCTGGAGATCCCGGACACGCTGCGGGAGCTGTTCGCCAGGTGCGCCCTCGGGCTGGGTCTGCCTTGTGCTTGCCTGCAAAAGCCAGCGGTCAGTAGGACTGCGACGCCCGGCGCCTGCCCGGTGCGTTTGGCCTTCCCCGACCTCCACCTGAGCTCCTCTCGCGGGTAGCGGGAACCCAGGGCAGAGCGCCTGCGTTCCTCTCCCCCAGGCCTTCCTGCTCAGGAGATGCACTTTTTGCTGAATTCTCTTGTTTTATATAGGAAACTCCAAAATATAAGTGAGGGAAAGGGGGCGGTGGCCTGGGGGCTGCAGCCAGGTGCTGCAGGAGCTATGTGCACCCAGCCCTGGCGCCTGGCAGGAGCGGGCATTCATCCATGAGATCCGGGCTCAGTGCTGCGGGCAGAAGGGCCAGAATCGGTCTCAGGTGCCTGAGACCCAGGCCCTGCGCTTCCAGCTCAGCCTCTTGGATCTGGAAGGATAAGCCTGGGTCTCAGCAGCCCTGCGGGGTCTGTGAACCTGAAGGTCTGTGAACTGCACCTGCTTCCACAGCAGAGTGCAGGTTCGACTCCCTCCCCCAGCACCCACCAGAAAGCCCCCGCCCTGCCTTCCAGAGCTTCTTGCTGTGCAGAGGTGATGCCCTCTGGGAGGTTTCTGGCCGGGAGCCGCACAGTGGTGCCTTGGCCCTCAGCATCTCAGTTGGAGATCTCGTTCCTTCCTCCACTGGGCAGTGATAGGTGGAGTGTCCGCCGCGTGCCAGGTCAGGCAGTGATTTGTAGTCATCATGCACTGACACGCATGAGCCGTTTTCTGGATTCTGTTTTGTTTTTTCAGTAACTTGTTCCCTAGAATTCCCGACGGCATGGTTGATGCTCAGACTTAAAGGTTTTTCAGTGGCCTGTTGACCTCTGTGTGACTTATGTCCCCGAGTGATTTCAGTGGAGTTCTGGGCAGCTCCTGGTCCTAAACGAAGACAGTTAAAGATGGCAGAGGGGAGCTCACGGGCCCCAGGAGGACAGAGTGGGTTGCAGTTGGAACAGCTGAACGCTCCTTTGACCCTGAGCATTTGATCCTGAGGCAGGATTGAAAGGGGGTCCATATTTTTCCTGCTTGACTAAATGGGGGTCACGTTTTTCTGAAGAGGTGCTTTTTCTTGGCAGTAGATTTGAGATTTTACCTGACCTTTCTAGAAACCAAAGGAATGTCTTGCAAATGGCTGTTTTAAAAGTCAGCTCTGTAACTCATTTGCTTGGTGTTAACAGTCCAGTGACACCACGTCAGCTCCAAGGGGCGGGGGCAGGCACCCTGCATTGTGCCGTCCACTCAGCGCTCTCCCACATTTTTGTTGTCATTTTTGATCAATGCATAAGAGTTGCAGGCATTCACAGTGCTCCGTGTGATGCTTTGCCACGTGTCCACACTGCAGGAAGACCACACCAAGCCCAGTAACATCCCATCGCTGTGTGTGGGCGCGTGCACGTGTGTGCGTGTGCATGTGTGTGCGCGCGCACGCGCACCTGTGTTCGCGTGGGGGGGGGGCCCTGAACACCTCTCTTGAAGGCAGAGAGAGATGGGCAGTGCGTTTTGGTAACTGAGGTCCCCTGTGTGCTCTAGGTGACGACTTCACTTCAGCAGTGGCCTATGGTGCCCTTGTGGACTCCATCCCTTCCCTTTCCAGTCCTGGGACAGTCACCCCTCTGCTCCAGCCCCCAGAGGGGCCTCTTTAGATCACTCCGGGTGTCCCCTCTGTCCCCCTCTTCTGCTTGTTTTCCAGTCACTGTGAGCTCCCAGCTCACCCCGTGTTAGCCATGCCCAGCGCACCCCTGCCATTCAGTGACCATTAGTGAGCGGACAGCTATGTCTCGTCCTCTCAGTCTCGTTTCTAAACGGGCCTGGTGGATGGGCAGGGCATGGTGTGTCCTTGTGTCACTGTGTATGCGGGGTTCACTCACGGTCAGTCCGACATCCCAGGCAGTGAGTGGCCCCGCGAGCAGCAGCGCTTGCCAGGCCCACTGTCCTGTGCTTCTGGCCCACTGTCCTGTGCTTCTGGCCCACTGTCCTGTGCTTCTGGCTCACTGTCCTGTGCTTCTGGCCTGTGCAGGTACCGAGTCTTGGCCATCGGCGATGAGAAGGACCAGATCAGGAAGGAAGACGAGCTTAACAGGTGAGCGTCGCTGCACAGAGCGACCTTGGTTAGTGACCTGCAGCCCAGCGCAGGGCGCCCCCTGTTCTGGTGGCCTGTGTTGGAACACGGCCAGGCCTCCTGTGCCAGCCGTGCTGCGCTCCTGCTGTGTTGAGGCGTCTGCGGAGTTTCTTTAGCCCGCGAGGATGAAGGTCCTTGCTGTCCCTGATCTCAGGCTCGCCGGCCTAGCCCTAGGCTGGACTCGCTTTCCAAGCAGAATCCTGTAGAAAGCCAGCTGGGCCCTGCGCCTGGCCCCGCCCTGCGCCTGGCCCCGCCCTGCGCCTCAGGAGGAGCTACTCTCCAGGGGAGAAAGGCTCACTGAGCATCAGAGGGAAGGAAGCCCTGAGCGCTGCGCCCTTGATGTCCTGTGAACCATCCCAGGCTGTGTCCCCCCAACCCACGAGAAGAGAGTTTTCCTTTGAAACCAGACAGTCACTAAGGCCCACAGAGTGCCGCTGGCCGTGCTCCCTGGTGCACACAGTGGGCACTTGTCACGTTCCCAAGACTGGACACCAGCCGAGCAGCGCCGCACCCTCACACCCTGTGGCCTCTCTTTCAGCGTGGACGACATCCACTTCCTGGTGCTGCAGAACCTGATCCAGAGCACGCTGTCCCTCTCCAACAGCCAGATGAAGTCCTGCCAGTCCTTCCAGGTGGGCCCACTTTCCCGGCCCAGGGGCAGCCGGTTCCGGCCGTTCCCCGCTCTCCTCGGCTGCAGGGCCTCGGGGTTTGATCCCCCCTTGACGTCCAAGCCCTGCAGCCAAGGCCCTGGTCACACACAGGGGTCACAGGGCTCCCTCCTCCCAGCCCCTTTCAGACGTGTGGAATGGGGCGTTACCGCAGCCCTGGCCGCTGCAGATCGCGGAGCTGAGCTGCGCTGCTTGGAGGGGGCTTTCCGCCTCTCACCAGGTCTCCCCGTTCCCTTGTCCCGTCTTTAAAGCACCCTCCTAAAGCCCTAAATATTTTAAATATCTGGTTTAGGTTGTAAACCTCATATTTAAAACAAAATTAGGCGGGAGGAGAAATGAGGTGTGACAACAAACTGGGAGAGTCACTGAGCCCGTGGCACCTTCCCCCTCATGCGCGTGTGGAGACAGGTTGGTTGTCGGGTCCTTGGAGGGCAGAGCTCCCCTTGGTGGCTGTGGTCTCCCGAGGACTCTGCTTCCTGTGGCTGGGGAGCAGGAGAGAGAGGGGCCAGGTCTGTTCAACCCACACGAGCCTGGGAAGCAGGTGGGCTCAGGGCTCTTAGAGCAACGTGGAGACCTGAGGTTCAGAGACGTCAGAACACATGCCCACGGTCACACAGCTCATCACACCAGGATGCCACCAGAGACTGCCAGGGGCTATTCCCTGCACCAGTGCTGCCTGGTGGTCTGCCCTCTTCAGCAGTCACATAAGTGGATTCCCAGTGGGGCTCTTTGCTTTTTTGTCTGTAGACCTAAAGCTCTACTGCTCCTGCCCGCCCCATCAACACCCAGCCAGACTGGAGTGGGAGGGCACAGTGGAGAAAATACAGGTGTCATTTCCTAAAAGTCCCTCTGAAGAGGTCAGAACAGTGGCCTCCCAAGCTTAGGGTACCTCAGAGTCACCCAGAGAATTCCTGGAACCTGGGTCCCCGAGCCCCACTCCTCAGATTCCTTAAGGAGTGGGGGCAGGGCAAACAGAGGAGCAGGCCGAGAGGGGCTGAGGCCTGAGCGCTAAAAAGCCAGTCGTGCTCAGGTTTGGGTCCAGCAAGTGCAAAGGCCCTGAGGTGGGAATGCTTTGACTTTTCCAAGAAAATTCAGGAGGATGGGGGGGGGGACCTAGGGGTGGGGCTGTAGGAGAAGAGGCCACAGCAGTGGGCACAGTCCCACTCAGGGTTCTGGTAGGGACTGGGTGTTGCTCCTTTGTGGAAGGAGGCCACTCGGATTTTCCAAGCAGGGAAGGAACATGTGATCTGATTTCAGCACGAGAGGGTCGTGTTGGTTGCTGTGGAGGAGGGTCCGGGCCCTGGGGACTCGGGTGGCACAGAGCAGGGTAACCAGTTAGCTAGAGGCTAACCTTCTCCAAGCCCCGGCTGGAGCTGGGGGCACGACCCCTGTGCCTGGTCCCAGGTCCCACGCAGCCCCAATTCGTCCTCGCATTGTGTTTCCAAGGCCTTGGGTAGTGGTGGCCGGATCCAAGTGGTGACCACAGGGGGCACTGGGGAACAGGGCAGAGGCTAAGGGACGGTGACGTCAGAACTGCTGCCACCTTGACTCCCAGGAACAGGCTTGGGGGGGGCAGCCCCCTCCTCTCCAGGTGCCTTCCTCCACTCAGGGGTGAGGGGCAGATGCTGGTCTGCGAGGCTGGACGGGACGCCTGCAGGGTCCCGGCCCCTGGCGCTGGCCGGGCTGGGCCCTGCTGACGGCGCTGTCTTGCAGACCTTCCGCCTGTACCGCGAGTACAAGGAGCAGGTGCTGGTGCGGGCCTTCATGGAGTGCCAGAAGCGGAGCCTGGTCAACCGGCGGCGCGTCAACCACACGCTCGGCCCCAAGAAGAACCGGGCGCTGCCCTTCGTGCCCATGTCCTACCAGCTGTCCCAGTCCTACTACAGGTGCGGCCCTCCGGACAGCGCCACGGGGGCCTCCACGCCTGGCACCCACCCTCTCCCCGTGTGGACAGGCCAGTGCTCCCGGGGCTTGTCAGGGTCCTGGCCTCTTAGCTGTTCCTTTGTCTCCTGTCTTATCAGGAGGGGACGGGTCAGTGTCCCAGCTGGGCACGGACCTCAGTCCTCATCCTCGAGGCTCAGAACCCCGGGGCCTCCTGCTCTGCTGCCCTGGCCCCAGCAGTGGGCACCCTGCAGATGGGGCCATCCGGGACCCCACTGCAGCGCCGCCCAGGGGCACACTCTTGGTGGCTTCACGCTGTGGCAGGCACCACTGGCCACCCCGCACACCAGGCATCGTGCCCACCAGCCTCCTGGCACATGCCTAGACGTCCCTTCAGACAGGCCACAGCTGGCTTCCTGCCCACGCTGCCCTCTGCCTGCCCCTCCTCCTCCCGCGGCCTGTGTGCAGACGACGGGTCAAGGCCGTGGTCTCTTGGTCCTCCTGCCCCTTCCTCTGCTGTGGCTCCAGCCTCTTCCTGAGCCCTCACCCTGGTGGCCCTCGGCTCCTCTTCTTGGGATGGGGAGCAGGTGTGGGAGCAGAGTGCAGCAGGGCTGCTGGCCTTGAGCCACGTGCCCAGGCTGGGTCATCTGAACCGAGGTGGGGGCAGCGCGGCAGGAGAACCTCGGGTCTCCTCTGGCTGTTTCTACAGGGTCACAGAGAGGCACGCTCCTGACGAGGACAAGGGCTGACCTCTGTGTGGCCCTGTAGGGGTGTCCTCTCCTATGGGAGGTCCGCGCCCAGGGCTCTGGCCCGTCCTGGCCTGCGGGCCTCACCGCTCTCTGGTCTCGCAGGCTCTTCACCTGGCGCTTCCCCAGCACCGTCTGCTCCGAGTCCTTCCAGTTCTATGAGAGGTTGCGGGCGGCCGGCAAGCGGGACCAGCCCGACCACTTCTCCTTCAAAGACCAGGACAGCAGCGACCCCCCGAGTGACATGGTGGCATTTTCTTTGGACGGCCCTGGGGGACACTGTGTGACCGCCCTGATCCTCTTTTCCCTGGGCCTGGTGTCCGTGGACGTCAGGATCCCAGAGCAGATCGTGGTGGTGGACAGCTCCGTGGTGGAGAGCGAGGTCATGAAGAGGTAAGGACGCAGCAGCCCCGGCCGTGCCCCTGGCCACAGTGGGGACGAGCCTGTTCTTGGGACTCGGCTTTGTGGTCTTCTGTCACCTGTCCTTTTGTGTGGACAGACGAGGGCTGCGCTTCACTGCCGTGTGTTTGGCCTGCACCGGGCCCTTGCCAGAGTGAGCAGGGAGCCGCAGGGGCTTCTGGGAGCTCCTGGGGACAGGCTCGTGTCCTTGGAGGGTCTGGAACAGACGTCCAGGGAGGGGTCTCTGCTGTGCCTCCAGAGGGACACAGGAAGCATGGGGGGGGGTGTGAGCTGGGACTTCAGGGAAGGTGGGGTGGCGGGTCAGGAGAGGCCCAGGCCCAGCGCGCTGCCACAGAGGCCCGGGCAGGGCGGGGGCGCAGAGGAAGTTGGGGTCCGGCCCTCAGGTTTCCTTGTCCCCAGCCTGGGGAAGGATGGGGGCTTGGATGACGACGAGGACGAGGAGGAAGACTTGGACGAGGGCTCGGGGGCCAAGCGCCAGGGCGTGGAGGTGAAGGCCCACCAGGCCTCCCACACCAAGTACCTGCTCATGCGGGGCTACTGCGCGCCCGGCCTCATCAGCACCCGCAACCTCAACCCCAACGACAGCGTCGTGGTCAACTCCTGCCAGGTCAGGTTCCGGCTCCGCTGCACCCCTGCGGGCACCCGGCTGGCGCCCAGCGGTGAGTGTCCTGCCACAGCGGGGAGCACGGGTCTGCGGACATGTGCAGCCGGGGGACCAGGAAGGCCCCTCCTCACAGCCGCCTCAAGGGGCAGGTCTGGGGCCAGTGCTCTGCGCCCTGGAGAGCTCACGCGGCTCCTGAGGGACAGGGGCCACCGCCTGGGCCTGCACCCTGTGCCGCTGCCCAGCACTGTCCTCTGACTCCTTGCAGTGGGAGCTCGGCCTCCCCCCCTGCACTTCCGACCTTGACACTCTGGGTTTTGTTCTGTTATCGCGGAAACTCGAGGCTAGCTGAGCCCTCCGTGCCCTCGGGTTCAGGTGTCCTCTTCTGCGCTATGTAGAACACGAGGAGGGCCTCCTCCCCCACTTGCTTCCCCTCTGACACTCCCCTCCCTCCCCTCTGACCCTCTTTACCTGGTCAAGGGAGGTGGCTTCGAGGTCAGCCACTACCCACAGTGCTGGGTCTGGGGTCCGGACCGGCTGAACGTAGTGTGGCCTGTAGGCCGTGGTCTTGGCAGACGCCTCCTGTAGGAAGCAAGGGAAACTCGTCTGTCCATGTCTGGCTGGTGGGAGCCCAGGGGAGTGTCCTGGAAGGGCTGCCGGAGGGGCGCAGGGCACAGGGCACAGCAGGGGTCGGCCCAGGGCAGCCAGAGTCGCGGCTCCCTCGAAGCCCTGGGTGCATGCTATTAAGTCTCAAGCAAGAGAGGCCCAGTGGCCAGGGTGGCCAGTCCAGGAACTGTCTTGGGGAGCCCAGGGTCACGTATCAGGAGTCCGACAGCCAGGGCTCCATGTCCCCCACAAGGTGGCCCCACAGCCCTTGGGGAGCAGGTGGACGCAGGGCAGGGCCCAGCTGGGCCACCTGCGCAGTCTGGAGCAGGGCTCCCCGCGGGCTGACCCCGGTCCTCCTTTCAGGCTTCACAGCGGCTTCCCTGGAGGAGCTGACGGTGGGGACCTCCTGCCTCCCCGACACCTTCACCAGGCTCATCGAGCCCCTGGGGCGCGCCGGCGGCTGGGAGGCCTTCGCCCACCAGGCGCAGCTGTCGGGGTACAGCCCTGAAGACCTGGCCGCCGCCCTGGAGCTCCAGCAGGCTGTGGCCGCCACCGGCTGCTTTGGGGTGGACAAGGAGAGGCTGAGCAGACAGTACTCGGCCCTGGAGAGGACGACAGGGCTGCGCACCAGGACCTTGGCGGACTACATCCAGGTGAGCGGGCGGGTGTCTTTGCTTCTTGATTTTAGTTGAAATTAGTCATCAGCGTTCAAAAATCAGGACACGTTGTGAGAGCCCCTGAGCCTGGCAGCCCTGGCCCTCCCTGGAGCCGTGTCCCCAACCCAGCCCAAGTGGCCCCAGCACTCCCCGCCTGCTACACTCTCCCCTACCTGCCTGGACCCAGTGACCCTTGAATCCAGAGGATGTCACAGCCGAGGGGCCCCTTGAACCAGCATGTCCCCTGTGCTCGGTCGGCTGCAGGGTATGGGCCGAGGCCAGCGGAGCCGTGAGGACCCCACTGTGGTGTTGGTGTGGGGCGAGGCCTTGTGGCCTCCAGGGGTGGCGAGGCCCGGAGGATGGTCAGAGCTGCCCCAGCCTCCCTGGGGCAGAGTGGAAGCAGGGGCTGTGCCCAGGGCTCCGTAGACCCGGAGGGGACTCAGCTCCCAAGGCCCTGGTGGCAGAGCCCAAGTGCCAGGTCCCACAACCGTCAAAGGGCAAGGTGAGGCGGCTCCCTGCCCCCAGTGCCCTGCACTCCCCCGATGGCGAGTGGCCGCTGCCCGTCGCAGGCGCACGTGGTCTGACTCGGGCCCTGAGTCCAGGCTTGGGCTGTCACGAAGCCCAGCAGCCTGAGCTTGTGGGGTTTCCATATAACAAGAAGAGCGTTGGCGGCCCCACGCACCCCCTGGATGGAGCCAGCATGCAGGAGCGGGCTGTGTCGGCCTGAGAGGGCTCTTGTCCCTTCACGGGAGGGACGGCTGCTTCTGTGGGAGAGGTTGTGGGACTGCGTGGCGCTGATTCCCTGGGAGAGCCCGCCAGCCGTCTCGCCTTGGCTTTAATGAGGAACCTCTGCCCCGGGGCCCCTCCAAGGAACGGGCTGCCCGCCCCGCAGCTGGCGCTCCAGCCAGGGCAGCACACTCGCCCGCCAGGCCCATCCTGCACTCGCACAGACACCCGGCTCCCTCCCCAGGACCTCCTGGAGCAGCGCCAGGTGCTGGAGGTGGGCGGCAACACCGTCCGCCTGGTGGCCAGGGCCTTGGCCGGGCCCTGGCTTCTGCACTCCGTGCGGCTGAGACACTCAGAGGAGGAGGCCCAGGCCCACGAGGACCATCAGGCCCGAGCCCCAGAGGGACCCGCCAGCGAGGACAGTGCCCAGGAGGAGCTGGCCGCGCCCTCTTGCAGCCCCCAGGGCACCAAGAGGCGAGCCCGCTGGGCCAGTCAGGGCAGCGACACAGACACCGAGGGTCCCCTGAAGTCTCCTGCAAAGAGGCCCAGGCTCCAGGACGTGCGCCTGGCCGCCAGCCCCAGGCCCGGGGCAGAGGAGGGGGCAGAAGGCCAGGCCCTGGCTTTGCCCCCAGCTCCTGAAGACACGGCTGCCGGGGGCCCTGGGCAGGAGGACCAGGAAAGTGTCGGTGGCCCCAGCGTTCCAGGCCAAGAGCAGCCAAGCTGTCAGGCCCAGCTCCCGGGGGGCTCTGAAGACCCCAGAGGTACGGCTTGGCCCTGCCCCGTCCTCGGTCCTCCAGCCTGATTGGCCCCAGCCCCGGCCTCGCCCTTTCACAGTCCAACCTGGGGTGGGTCCTGCTCCAGGGTGGCTGCTCCCTAGAGGCCTGAGCTGCGCTCTGGCTGGGCCTGGCTGGCTCCTGAGGGGGTGGAGGTGTCTGCTGCCCCCGCCCCTGGGGCCTCAGGTTTGTGCTGGGTCTGCTGGCCTCGCCCCCTCCCTCCTGGTGTGCACTGCACACCCCCAGAGTGCCGTGGCTGCTGGGGCACGGCACCTGGGGGGGCAGCCATGGGCTCCTGCTCTTTAACCCTCCCCCCCACCCCCGTCTCCCCCCAGGGCTCTCGGAGACCTCCACGGCCAGCAGCCTCTCCCAGGCGCCTCGGGAAAGGTGCGTGAGTGGTTCTGTCCGGGGCCCTGGGTGGGGGAGGCCAGCAGGGCAGAGTTTGTCCTTGGGGACAAACCAGGCAGGTGGCATGCTGTCAGTGGTGAGCATGGCTTGCGGTGCTAGACTTCGGCTCTGGTGACCTGGACAGGCAGGAGGGTGAGGGCAGAAGTGCCAGGCGTCGAGGTGCTGTGTCCACCTCCTTCCAGAATGCCCACGGCGCTCTTTGAGAAGCACAAGCCAGGCACTTCCACATGAGCGACCCTGGGGCCTCCTCACAGCCACAGGTGTCCTCGTCACTACTTTACAGATAAGAAATGAGCCCAGAAAGGTGCTGCCCTTGTCCAAGGTCACACAGCCCTTGGCTGACCACCTGAACCAGGGCCCATCCCCAGCCCAGGGCAACCCCGCCTCGGGGACCTGCACCTTCTGTCCCAGGACACTGTGCCCTGAGCCGGGAGGCAGCCTCACCCTGGGACACTCGGCCAGGAAGGCTGCACCTCAGGCCCGAGAGCAGCCCCGAGCCCACACCCAGGTTCCCAGAGGCCTCCCAAAAGGCACCTTGCCGGGCGCAGCAGGGCCGTGTTCCCGTGTCCCAGCTCCCAGGGCTCAGACGCCACCTTCCCCGGCCCCACCAAGGCTCCAGAGCCAGGGGCCAGCTGGAAAGGCCTGGCTACTCTTGGCCTGTTGCCTTCAGGGCCCGGGTGGGGGCAGAGGCCTCTGCTCCAAGGCAGGCTGCAGAGTCCTGGGCAGCCCTGGGCGAGGACAGCCCGAGGGGAGGTGGCCTGGTGGAGCTGGGAGTCCTGACCCAGGTCCCTCCTGCCAGCGTGGAGTGACACAGGCCAGGGCTCATTGTGGCCTTAGTGATGCTGCAGCCAGCAGGTCCCCCCTCGACCAGAGATCTGGGCCTCCTCTAGGCAAGAGGGAGGGGAAGGCCAGAGAGCAAAAGGTAGACAGTCCTGGGCTGGGATGTGGCTCAAGCGGTAGCGCGCTCGCCTGGCATGCATGCGGCCTGGGTTCAATCCCCAGCACCACATACCAACAAAGATGTTGTGTCCGCCGAGAACTAGAAAATAAATATAAAAAGAAAAAAAAAAAAGGTGGACAGTCCCAACCTCGTGACCTGGGCAGGCACCATCTCCTTGTAATCGGTGACCTGTGACCGGGCTGACTCTCGCTCCCCCCCTCAGGAACTGCGAGAACATCTGCTTCGTGGGCCGCCCGTGGCGCGGCGTGGACGGCCGCCTGAACACCGCCGTGTGCAAGGGCATGATGGAGGCCGTGCTGTACCACGTCATGAGCCGCCCGGGCGCGCCCGAGAGCTGCCTGCTGCAGCACTACCAGGGCGTGCTGCAGCCCGTGGCCGTGCTCGAGCTGCTGCAGGTGCGGGCGGCTCCTCCTCAGTCTCCAGGCCCCACCCTGCCCCAGGCCCCCTTGGCCCTCCTGCGCCCCCCACAGCTCCCCTGAGGCCACTGCGGACCCTCCCTAGGAGCCCTCAGCCCCTGCCTCCAGAGGGCAGCGGCCTGGACTGGCCAGATGGCTGCCCTGCTTGTGCCCCTCGCCCAGAGGGAGCTCCAAGTCCCGTGTGAAACTAGTGGACCGTCCAGCTCAGACAGGCCAGGGGGAGGGGCCGTCCATGGTGTGCTGTGGGTGCCACTGTCCAGGAGGCGTGTCTGCTGGTGGCACCACCCCCTGCCCAGCCTCGGCCTCCCACTGCCGCTGCCCCTGCAGAGGGAGGACCTGCCCCACACAGGCTGAAGGGCCAAACTCTTGGGTGGGGCCAGGCCTGACCTCCTCCTGCTCCCCAGGGCCTGGAGTCCCTTGGCTGCATCCGCAAGCGCCTGCTGAGGAAGCCCAGGGCCGCCGCGCTCTTCTCCAGGCCCGTGGTGGAGGAGGTGGAGGCGCCCGACGAGCACACCACGGCCTTCTACGAGCCCACGCTGGACTGCACCATCCGCCTGGGCCGCGTGTTCCCCCGGGAGGCCAACTGGAACCGCTGGGCCTCCCTCTAGGGCGCCGCCGCCGCCCACCACCGCCCTCGCCGCCTCGGCCGCAGACCTCGCAGTCCTCGCGGCTCCAGCCAGGCCGGGTCCCCTCCCCAGGACTGGACTTACCAGCTTGGGCCTGGAGTGGACCCCGCAGGCTCGGCGGGCACCTTGCCCCCAGCCCCCAGCCTGCCATGGCCGGTGACTGCAGGATAGAGAGGAGGCCCCCGTAGGATTTGGCTTTGAATTTTTTCTTTCAACCTCTTTTCTCATTTAGAAACAAGTCCCCCGGCATGAATTTATTTATTTTTTAATTAAAGTGAAGTCAAATGTGTCTGGTTTTATGTGTTTCCTGAACAATTGTTGGTCCGGGAGGGGCTCCCTGCTTTCAGCTGTGGACTCAGGAAAAACTTCCCAGGCAGAGGAAGGCCCTCGGGCCCTGCCCCTCTCTGCCGAGGCTGTCCCTTCACAGGGCAGCTCCCAGTGCCCTGCCAGGCATGTGGGAGGGATTCCATCTCTTGAAGTTCTTTTTTTTTTTTTTTTTTTTTTAATTTAGAGACAGGGTCTCACTGAGTTGCTTAGCTCTTCGCTAAGTTGTTGAGGCTGGCTTTGAACTCACGATCCTCCTGCCTCAGCCTCCTGAGCTGCTGGGATTACAGGCGTGGGCCAGCGTGTCCAGCTTGAAGATCTCTTATCCTGACATTTGAATTATTAGTTGCACTATTTAAACAAATTCAGATTTTACGCATTAAAAAATATTAGATTTCTATCTTCTCTTGAAAAAAGTGAAAAGTTCTAGCAACTTGCCTCCTGCATAGGGCAGGACAGTCTGAGGTGGTGAGTAGAGGCCGAGTTCAGGGGGTGGGACATCCTCCAGGTGATGTCCACAAGGCCAGCCTCTTGGGGAGACCACACTGGCCTCTGATCTGACCTGGCCTAACTTCCATCCCTGTGTCCATTCTCCTCTGCAGACCCAGGGCCTGTGTCACTCCAGGCCCTGCTTCAGTGAGGGACAAGGAGCAGGAGGACTGGACTCCAGGGGAACCCCGCACGCTAATCTTTGGTCTCCTAGTTTTCATTTTTACTCTAGTATAAAAAGAGAATGTTCTGTGGGATTTTCTAAGGAGATGGGGCAGGAAAATGAACATAATCTGCTTTACAAGCAGAAACCACTGTACGAACGCTCACTGGAACGCAGCCTGTGGTGGGGGAAACAGGTATGTTTCAGCCGTGACATAAAACACTAGTTGACACTCAGGTCCCAGGGCCCAAGTTTTCTATCTGCCTGAAGGAGAGCCGGGGACAGTGAGGAGCCTGGGCGTGCCACACGGCACCTTCGACACCGCATCTCCTTCCCAGTGCGTCCCGGACAAAGGCCAATTTGGACTCATGTTTAGGGAAGCAAAATGGAGATTCAGGGAGCAGAGATGGGTGTGGCAGGCGCGGCTGGACACTCCAGTCACTCCCTTCTCCCCGACCTGTGTACCCACCCACCTGCTTATCCATCTGCTTGTCCTACTTTAATGCCAGATTCATGGGACCCCAATAGACCTCCAGGAACCAAGTCCAATGCCATCACACAAAAGTCTTTATTGCAAGCTCGAGCCTGGACTCACAGCCGTTCCCGACAGCGGTCCCAGGGAGTGAGTCCCAGGGAGTGAGTTCAGTGAGATTTTATAGGTTTTGAGGGGATGCTCTATGCGTCACAACATCACACAGCAGATCATTCCAGACCGCTGGAAAATCAAACAACAGCTCTTAACATTGATTAGCGCATTCACTGGCGGGAACAAGTTGGGTAGGGGTGATTGGTTAAAACAAGAGGGGGATTCCTTTGAACTGATTGGTTTAGGCCACGAGGGGTGTCCGTGCTGAACTCCATGGTTTCCCAACATGTTACCAACCACCATAAACCACTGGGGGGTCATCTGGCTTCCAGGTATTTCCCTGTCTCATGCTGATTGGAGGTTGTTAGGGGGTTGCTATGGGTCCCCACCTGGCCTGACTGAGTCAGGGACACCTGGTGCAGCAGATCTCTCCTGTTATTTACAGACAAACAACTCAGCAGGGTGGGTGTGTGCCTAGGAGTGCTCTGTGGGTTTTTCCCAGGACAAGGGTCACGCCCCCTTCCTTAGGACAGGCCTTGAGGTAGAAGCTGCTGTTATTTATTTTAAAAAATGGAGTCACATCAGTTTCTCATTCCCCCTTTGTCTGGAAACTTGGGGACCAATCAGGGTTCCCTCAGTTGGGGGTCTATTTGGGCAGGCCCTACATCTTAGTAGGATTCTCCTGGGTCTAGGGCTTGATAGTGGGTACGCAGAACCAACATCTGAACTGTGTTGACTCTGTCCTTGATGAAAGCCACTAGCTTGTTCATGAGTGGTCCTACTAAGGTTGACACTAGGGTAATTTTAGAGTAAACACTAACCCTCAGGGGACAGTCCTCAACGTCCCAGACTCACTCAAAATTGGCCTCCTGACTCGATTACCTATCTACACTGTCTATCTATTTCTGGCTTCATTTCCCCCTCTAATTTTAGGAACTCCTTATTGATGTAAGGAGAAGGGGCGACGGCTCGTTCTGGCTGCTTCGGAGCTGAGAGGAGGCGTCGAACCTGAGGGGGCTCAACGATGTGGGGGACGTGAGTTCCCTTTTAGAAGTCAGTTGGGTTTGAAGTCTGGTTGGGGAAGAACAGGTTGTAAAGTCATCTGGGGATGGGTGCTTCTATGAGAGAAACAAAAACCATGAGTACTGAGTAAATGTTGCAGCAGCTGGAACACATCACTGTATAGTTCCCTCACCAGGCTTTACCATCCCCAGTTATCAGGACTGTAAACAAAACGTTGAACTTTCAGTGTTACAGATGTCCTTCCCCTTGAGATACAGCTTGATAATTTAATGTCATCTGATCTTGCAAAATCTTTTTTCTACTATGACCTCTGTGTCTAATAGAGAAACCTTTAATTCTGTTACTCAGAGCTGGATAATCATACTAGCAAACACCAAGCCTACCTGTGCAGGTTAGGAATAGCTGTAGGCCTTAAACTAAAAACTACTCTGGCTGTTCCTCTAGATAGTTTATTTTGATAGTTATCAGGCATTCCTGCCTAAAATCTCTTCTGTAGCCTCCAGTCTTACTTATTCTTGGGGGCTAACACAAGGTGTTTATCTTAAGTTACATTTAACTATTATTATTATTATTTAAAATGCCCAGGAATAGCTGTGTTTGGGTTTTAACCATCTTTGCTAAGTGTTTAGGATGAAGCAAGTCAAACTGACTTTTGTTTCTATCTATTGTTAACAGTCAGCTGAGTTTCCATGGGAGTCCTGGGGGAACTTTACAGCAGCTTCTTAGTTCTGCTAGTGCCATTTGTGCTAGGATGGGTCCAGGCCTTGCTTGACCATGTGGCTTCCCTTGGAAGAAGCATCAGGGATGTCTCCCTTGTCTGGTGACCCTCCTCTTCATAGCAAATGCACCAATTGGCTTTCTGTCATCCAGTGGTCTCATTTATCTCCCTGATCGTTATGAGGTTATAAGGCCCAGAGTTGCAAAGCTCCTTGGAGAAGTCCCCTGCTCCCTGGATTCAGACTGACTTAGAGGGCAAGACCCAAATATTGTTTTCTTGGCCCTTTTAATTTAACTTTAATATTAAATCTTCATCTTAAACATCCAGCAAATCAATTTATATTAAGAGTACTGGGCTTCAATGTCTATGTCTCTATCCTGTAGGTGACAACTTATTATCTTAAATTAACCCAGGTTGTGTGTTCTTAAAGCAGTGCCTCTGCAAAACATTAACAAGCAATCTTTAGGCCATTTATAAGAAAACTAGAAAATAAAATTAACAAGAGTAAAACATATTTAGCTACCTTGAACTTTGGAAGTTATACATCATATCCCCTGTTTGAGATCCTAGTAATTTTAACAAAGACCAACTTTTGGACGCAACTTTAAATGTACTGAAATCTGGCCTATTTCTTTCGTAGTCATTCTCACATGTAGTGAGATGGGACACAGAGCCTTATCTCGGGTAAGGCAGGGCTCTTCATAAATCTTAAGTGCTGTAATTCTGAAGCTGATCTTTGCTTTTTAAACATCATTTTAGAAAGCTTACATAAATTGTTGCTCAAGTTCACATGAACATTAGCTAACACAATATGATATCACATCTAAAACATGAGTTAAAGAAAGGCTGAAAGATCTTAACCTTTTGTAGAAAAGTAGCAAAGTACTTTTGTGTTTTACAATATCAACCTTTACACAGATTAGGCTCTCGTTAACTTAAAAATACATTTAAATTGTACCTCAGTGTAAAAAGTAACATAAAACTCTACACATCGTATTGATAACAGGTCCAGTTACAGAACATCAAATGATGTAAATAAATCTCCAACATGTTTTTCTTTTAAGCCTAAAATTACCACACAACTTTAGAACACCAGCTTGATATAAAGCTCTTTTAAAGCTTCTACCTTACAGACTTGTACACCTGGAAGATATGAACACATTAATAGCACACAGTTACATTGATGTTTTTATATTAACCAAGTTCAGCTTTTAAAGACATAACATAGCACAATTCTCTAAAATAACAGTTCTTGCTTAACCAGCTGTTTAATTCCCTTAAGATTACTTGCTCTAGAAACAAGAAACAAAACTTAATAAATACCACAATGTTATGGGCAAACTAATGTTTTAAGAAATCTTTGTCCTTTTAACATATGACTGATTGTTACACAGACCTTCTTTATCACTTACTTAAACTCTCTTATTTACTTCATCACATAAAGACTTTCTTAACCAGGAACACTTTTTTTCTCTTCTATTAAATATGATTTCCATACCTAGAACCTTCTAATTTCTCCTTCCCATCTGTTAACCTCCTTTTCTGTTCACATTTTGAAACTGTCCTTGTAAATTTCTGAATTTAGGCAGATTATTTTATTTTAATAAAAAGAAATACTTGATTTTACTTACAGTACTCTTACTTGGAACAGTTGAAACTTTTGGGCCTTTGTATATAGAAATCTTCTATAAACCCTTGTATGCAGAATCACATCTGTTTACCATTTCATGAAACACAGTGTCTAAGTATTAGGGATGACAAAGCAACTTTATACCTTTTTTCTTCATTTACTAACTGAATGAAAACATCAATAATGTTACCCAGTGCAATTCAAGGAGTTAAGAGTGCTCAATGGTATATTTAACATTTTGCATTTTAACCTTGTAAATCAATCATGTATCTAACAAAAGTACTCATAAATGAGTAATCCCATGTCAAATCTACTTTACTTATTTTATCAAAAGTGTATTGAACAGTGTTAGCCATTTCTTCCTTGTTGAAGAAAAGTCCTAGAACCAAAGCATATCAGACATTTCATAAACATCAACATTTTATTAGGTTTTTTTTGAACACCTAGAAAAACTTGTAAGCTTAATTTTAAAGACGTCATTATTTTCATCTGTTTACCCAATTTAAATTGAACATTCAAATCACGTGAATCAAAGATATTTGGATCCTTTTTTAAATTTTTATGAGCGTTCCTCATATATCTGCCAATTTTCGTACCATGTGCATGATGTATGGACACACGCACACACAGACATACAACACATACACAAGTGTGCACACATAACTCAATAGTAAAGGCCTTGTAGCTTTACTCAGGTGAAATCTCCATTGCAATGTTTAAAAACTCCACAGTTGGTCAAAAATAGAACTGATCAGAAAAACATTAACCTAGGTCTGTAGGATCCAAATCATGATTTCAAAAAAAATACAGAATCTAAGAAAAAGCAAGGGTCCCAGAAAAAAATGACTGGCCGGTAATTAGTAAATACCATACAATTTACTTCTTGGTTTAGTCTAGTTTGAGTTCAGGTAAAAGACACCTTTACTCCTTTTTCTTATTTTTTCTTGAGCCTCAGATCAGCCTCCTACTGTGCCTGTAGGCTTCTTCCATTGCATTTCAACTTAAGTCCTGGCTGAGGTCTGGAAGGAGCGGGGAAAACATGCTGTTCTGAGCAGAAACCTCATGCCTAAGGCATTTTAACCTTTAGTCATGTTTTTCAGGTTTGGGTGTTGAAAATTATGATACAAGTTGAAGATACAATTCACAAAATTTCATACATTTGCATCTTGTTTTGCCAAAGGAAAAAATTTCTTACAGTAGAAAAACTTGCTCACACACGACTGAAAACAGGAGCTTACTTGATGATATAAAAGCTACCATCAGAAGAAATCCATTCAGGATCATTAAGCCACTTCCCTTGTTCTGAAGATCCTAAAGCAGTACTAAGTTACATTAAATCACCTGAAAAACAATTCCAAAAGAGAACCACCCACTGCCATCTATATCCAAAATTAAGCTTTAGAAATTCCCAGGACCGTTGCTATTCAGTGTCATTCCAATCAGCCAGACCAACGTCCCAATCCAACACTTTCCTTTCCTAAATCCTACGCACTGAGGGGAACAGATACCACACCATGATTTACTATCCTTGCCCAAATTAATAATGCGTTGTTACCCCTAGTGAAATCTTCCCAGGGCGCTCAATTCAAAAATCGGTGAGAAAACTGAATGATTGGGAAGTTACTTGCCAACTTAGAAGTAGAGTTCTTTAGTTTTCCATCCTGTAAGTTCTCTGGCATGAATCATCTGAAGTCATAAACTGAACAATCACCTAAACCCAACTTTTAACTCCAAGACTGTGCAATGCTTCAAAAACCCATTCAGATACCAGATTGTCACAATAAAACATCTTTTAGACACATTCAGCCAAAATCATCCCCAGGAAACTGTAACATCAACACATCATGGCCCATGTCTTAAAGGGCCAGAAACAAAGACACAGGACAGACGGACAGAAAGGAGCTCCAGACTGTGGCCGACAGACAGGAACCTTTAAACAGGCCAGATGAGAGAGAAATCTCCCCAGGTTTCCAGCTCCCATTTCATCATGACTCCTACACCAGTGGCACCACAGATGTCCCCGTGAGGGAACCAGATGTTCTCACAGAGGGGCAACCGGAAGAGTAAATCTCAAGGGTCTCCATGTGGCGACTTTACTGCGTCCAGTGCCCCCCCCCCTTTTTAAGCAGACGGAGGTGGAGCAGTCCTCACGGTGCAGGGAAGGAAGGAGGGAGTTCCCTGAAGCAAAAGGGGCTTCGTCGGCTGCTGGGATCCCTCAGTCCCTCCTCTACTTACAGGATCCGCTCCTCTGGTTCCGTCCGACCCCAGGCACCAGGCACGCTCCGCATCTCCTGACTTTCCAGTGCTCAGTCTCAAAAAGTCCACTTTTAAGGGCTTCCCCAAGAAAGCGGAGTGGGGGCTCCTCCAGATTCCCCCCTGGGGTGTCAAAATTTGTAAAAGTTTGGTTCCTGTCCTTGAAGCCAATGAATGCCAATTTAATAATAAGGACAGAGTTTTGAGAAAAAGAAAAGGGAGACCCTCAGTTCTTAGACCCCCAGGCATTTCCCTCTGCAGTGGGTGCACTCATGCCAACTAACCCCATTTCACAAAGGGGGTGACGCTTATCAAAGTTCTTTAAAACGCAGCTCAAAGGGGTGTGAGAGGTGGGAACAGAAACGCTGGCGGGTCTATTGACTTTGGGCCCCTTTCAGGGAAGCGGGAGAAGCGCCCCAGGGACATTTTCAGGCTAAAATCTAGCTAAAGTCACCTCCACCCATCTCAGGCAGAGCGGGACTTGGGACGCAGCATCTGTCCAAAGTAAAACAATGCCGTCCCAGAGACACAGACAGAAAGACGTACAGATTCCCTCAGACGAAAAGACTGAGGGAGTGTCCCCCTCAGATTGGGGTCTGGGACGTCTCCCAGGAGCCCTGGCCGGTGACCCTATGGCAAGGCCAGTTGCCAGCCCAGAACACAGATTCCACGGCCCCATCAGTGGTCAGAGCAAAGCAGACAGCAGACCCACAAATAACAAGACTCACCGGTGTTAGACTCTCTGGTTCGGGGATCCTGGGGTCTGGGGAATCCAGGATAAGCCCCCAGATGTTATGCCAGATTCGTGGGACCCCAGTAGACCTCCAGGAGCCGAATCCGATGCCATCACACAAGAGTCTTTATTGCAAGCTCCAGCCTGGACTCACAACCGTTCCCGTCGCAGCGGTCCCAGGGAGTGAGTCCTGGTCCTTTGTTCAGTGAGATTTCATAGGTTTGGGGGGATACTCTATGCGTCCCAACATCACACAGCAGATCATTCCATACCGCGGGAAAGTCACACAACAGCTCTTAACATTGATGAGCACAGTCACTGGCGGGAACAAGTTGGGTCAGGGGTGATGGGTTAGTACAAGAGGGGGATTCCTTTGAACTGATTGGTTTAGGCCACGAGGGGTGTCCGTGCTGAACTACATGGTTTCCCAACACGTTACCAACCACCATAAACTACTGGGGGGTCATCTGGCTTCCAGGTATTTCCCTGTCTCATGCTGATTGGTGGATGCTAGGGGGTTGCTATGGGTCCCCACCTAGCCTGACTGAGTCAGGGACACCTGGTGCAGCAGATCTCTCCTGTTATTTACAGACAAACAACTCAGCAGGTGGGTGTGTGCTTAGGAGCGCTCTGTGGGTCTTTCCCAGGACAAGGGACACGCCCCCTTCCTTGGACAGGCTTTGCTCTGAGGTAGAGGCTGGTTTCTCAAAAACGGAGTCACATCAGTTTGTCACGACCACCCTCCCAGCCACCCGTCCACCTGCCACCCCCCCCC